TATTACATAGGCTATAGACCTAAAGTCAGGCCGTTAACGAGTAAAGTTATGTCTAGAGTAACTAAGTTATCGATGTAACAAAAATGGTATTATTTCATATACACGTCACTTAACCGATATCAGGATATTATTCCTCCTTTCAAGTGGAGTTCGGTGCAACTGCAAAAACGAATACATCTTCTAGCTCTACTGCTAAAATGAGAGTCAGGCATGGTGGATCGATCGAACAAGCACATGTGCATGTGAAACGATCAAGGGTCAAAGTTAAAAATACTACTGCGCAATTGAGACAAAAAAACACATGACGCACGACGGACGACGCACGACGGGTGACGCACGACAGGCGACGTACGACGCACGACGGCAGATACGGAATTCCATATGAAAGTGCCACTGCCATCACAGGTTTGTGCATGTTGTTTATATACTCTGTCCGCCTGACTCGATATCGAAAATTGTGTACAGTGTTACTCCCCAAATATGGAGCTTTGTTTACTTGGTTGTTGCTTAGAAAGAAATACAACGGTAGAAATAAATAGTTTTCAGGATGTTGGATATTTTACAGTATCAGACCAAACCGACAAACTTATTTCATTTCAAGGAACTCTAAATTTGTCCTGCTTTTTATCTCTTTGATAATAGCTTGAATCCAGCATGGAGGATCTTAAACATCAGAATCCGAACCAGACACCGACTCCTTCTACTCATCCTCACGGCTCTGATCTTATTCGTAAGCCCCCTGAGCCTGACTGCACTAGTAGTACCAGCAACCAGTGCTACACTGTCAATCTCTTCGGTGTCCCCATAGCCGCACTTATCATAGACGGCCAGGAAAGGCTCTGCCTTGCCCAGATCTCCAGCACCCTCCTCAAGAACTTCAGCTATAACGAGATCCACAACCGGCGCGTAGCCCTGGGCATCACCTGCGTCCAGTGCACACCCGTCCAGCTGGAGATCCTCCGACGCGCCAACGCCATGCCGGTCTCGTCCCGCCGGTGCGGCATGATCAACAAGCGGGAAGCTGAGCGACTGTGCAAGTCCTTTCTGACCGAGAACACCCCACCGAAGCTACCGGACAACTTCTCCTTCGACGTGTACCACGAGTGCACCTGGGGATGCCGCGGGGCCTTTGTCCCCTCCCGCTACAACAGCTCCCGGGCCAAGTGCATCAGGTGCGCCTACTGCAACCTGTTCTCGTCTCCCAACAAGTTCATCTTTCACGCGCACCGCACGCCTACCTCCAAGTTCCACCCTCCAGACGGGCCAAACTTCAACTCTTGGCGGAGGCACATCAAGTTGGTCGATCCCAACCCACCAGAGGAACTCCTTCACGCTTGGGAAGACGTTAAGGCCATGTTTAACGGAGGCAGCCGCAAGAGGTCTGTCTGTGAGACTTCTAACAAGCTGACACCACCGTCGTATATATTAAAGCGCCCGGCGGATTCCATCTCTCTCAACAATGATTCTCAACGGTTGCTCCCAAGTCCACCAAAGAGAAGCCGTTACGACAAGGATCCCCACCGTGATCTTCAACCCACGCCTCCTGGAGCGGTCAACGTACCCTACCCACTCATGCCAATCCCAAGCCGCACTCTGTCTACATCAATTAGCGAGGCTTTGCCGGAAGAACCCCCGATGAACTCCTCTCCGCCTTACTCCGTCGGCGCCATTTTCCCCGGACAGTTGTCACCTTCGGCCTTCAGACAACACCCGCTCATGGAGTTTGTCTGGGGCGGTGGCAGGGCGGGGTATCCGCTACCGGCTGCAGCAATTTGGCCGAAGACTATTGGTATGCCGTTTGCTGGCAACACCGGCTATTACCAGCCCTTTGTGGATCCGGACAGCGATATTCACGCCATAATGGACATGGCTTCATCAAGCAACAACGCCCCCTCGAAGAAACCCCACCAGGGAGAGGACTTTGACCCCTTGAAATTCGGCAGCCTTAAATCCAAGACTTTGGCCATGAGGCACCACGTTCACCACCACCATCTCCCAGACTTGAGATCCAGGAATGCGTACTATACGTCCGCCTTCCGCCCCGTCCTGACGGGGAAAGGTTGCCTGGAACCCGAGCGGGCCTTTGGAAGCACTGAACGGTTCGTATTCCCCTCGAAGCCCCCTATCGAGGACTGTTGCTTGGCTATGGGACATCACCACGCCAGACCCCACCAAATCGCCAGCCACCAGGCAAAAATCAAAGCAGACCACTACCCGATCAGCAAATCACCGCGGAGTCTCAGCCCCCAGACCCCCACTCTCATCATCGATGCCGATGATCCCGCCGATAAGACCGATCCATACTCTGAGGCGACCACTAAACGGACACCGGGCGTCACGGACGGCACCGAGCAAGACGCAGGTGGGACTTCAACGGGCGAAGACGCGAAGAGCCAGCGTGACCTCGGGAAAGCGCACTCAAAACGAAGAATCTCGATGGAAGAGGTAAAGAAATCTCCATTTAATTAGCTGATGTTTCGTCGATTAGACCCTTAGCCCGTAATCATCTGTCTCAGGTGCAACTCTGTCATCATTACTTGGCACTCCGGCAATTACATCTGCTGCTTTTTCAGTACCAAAACTCAGCCCCCCCCAATACAGTAGACATCCTTTAAGAACTTACATGTAATTACTATTTAACCCCGAAAGATGTGGTTCGGGAGCTCAAATGTCACACAGGAAATTATAAGGAATAATAAAACAGCCGTTTACGTAAACTGTTCGCCCACAAAAGCACCAGATGGCTTGGAAGGAGATTAACATCACTGTCTTTTTCAGACGTCTAATCAAGACACGAGAAGCTTGGACAAATTACCTCTTATGTATCATTCTTACAGTACAATAATTTGAGCAGTCTATTTTCAGCTTGTCTGACCGGAACGTAAACAACTGCAACAGCCGCAGTTTCGTTCACCGCAATTGTCACTGAAACAAAACTACAGCGGACTGCGTTGCCTTCAACAGCTAACATGAACTATGCAGCATCCACACAACAGTAATCTACAGATGCAATGTATGGATTGCATCTTGTATCCCATCCATTTTCCATCTTTATATCGCCAAGTTTTAGGTTTCAGATTCCTTTCAATTCCTATAGTGATTTTAAAAAGTGTACAGTCGTGGGAAAAACATTAATGTCATAGGATGTGGCCACATTGCGCTGTTACATTTGCTTCGTCGTAAAATGTCGTCAGAAATTTGGGATTTTTACTTGCGTTTAACTTTTGATTCGGTTAGGCACAAAAAGAAAAATGACATTAACGGCTGCACGGTACTTAAAGATTCTCTCAAAATAGTCGGACTCTTAACTTTGGTTTAAGAACCAGTCGACTATAAAGCGTGCGACATTCTCTAGATGTCGAGAAAGTGCGGCCAAAATTAAACCAAAAAGGGGCTTCTTTATCACAAAACCTACGCTTACCTTAAGGAGTGTTTACCGAGTCACCATGGTGCGTAGTGTAAATTATTCGTGGCCATCCAGCAAGTACTTGTCTTTAATTAACAAGAAATAATGTAGAGTAATGATGTGCATAATTAATGTAAATTTCCATTTTGGTAGACGGTTAAGTGTAAGTCAGCAGTAAAGGAGGGTACGGCAGCGATAGTTCAATGAACCTGTGGACAAAGATAAAAGTTGCCTGCACCCGAGAAGCCTTTTTTTTGTAAGATGAAACTAGCACGCAAACTTGTGATCGTGGGTACATGTGCCATGAATACACAATTTAAAAACTACAACTTTGGACTAATTCACAAGTTGGTCATATGAAATTGAAAGCGAGGTTAACATCTTTATTTTTGCACCTAAAATACAAACGAGAGTACTGAAATTAAATTTCATTACAAATTAAGGTCATTTATGCTGATGAAGAATTTCATTTCTTGTGATTAATTAGATCTAAATGCTTTAAGCCACAATGAAAAAAATGAAAGTGAGGCATGGAACCTCAAATAGTCTGGCATTACCCCCATTCAACGGATTAGATGGTATGTTGTAGGAACACGAACAAAAATGGCCGCCGTGTAGAAAGTCTCTTGTCCACAAGCGCTATTACAAGCAAATCAACTTTTTCAAAGGTGGTTTAACCTCTCTAACAGTTGCTGCTGTCTGCTCCGAAACGGAGAATGGTGTGATGTACGTTCCTGTGACGAGAATATACGATATTACTGTCCTCTATCGTGCAGGCCGAAAGTTCACGTTTTTCTCCGTCGGACTCATCGGTGTTGAGTAGCCGCCACCCCGACCATCGCGCACAACACCACCGCCGACATATTACCAAAGAATCGACCACTCCTTCGCCGCTCAAGGAAGACGACGATCACACTTCACGCAAACTGGGAGAAGGTATGATTCTTGCATACTTTGTATCATCAGCCGCGTATCCAGCGGGGAAAGGGGGCAGTGGGGGTGCAACGCCCAAAGCATCTGTATCAGGAGATTGGAAGCACCGGCATTTTTGAAACCGTACTCGCATAATCTTTCTTTTGGGGTGAGGATTCTTTCACAAATGAGAGAAAAAAATGGACAGTCGGTTTGGGGAAAACAATTCGATTTTGCCCTTCCTGGACCCCAAACCTCGATACGTATGTAATTGGATGCGCATTTAACAACTTCAATACTGTTGATGAAATTATATGCAAAGTGTTGCACGAAAATATCTACGCTTGCAACTTCCAAGCATTCGATGACCTGAGAGGGAAAAAAAACAAGAAAGAAGAGGGGATTAGGGTGGCCGTTTTATTGAAATATCCTAGGAAGCAGACGTTGTGTTCTGTCTGTTCTCCATGGGGCAAACTCGTAAACAAACAAAACAAAACAAAAGATCTTATTTTCTTCTCCGGGCTCCCTGGACTCCATTCTCAGTTGCCCCCCCCCCTTAAAAAAAACTCAAAGTCTTTTTCTTTTGTTCTCTCTCGATTTATTCATGAAAACCCCCCATCCGTTAATCCATCTCTTTCCACGGCAGAATGAGCGGGCCTCCCAAGTTCTTCAACAGAGTTGACCCACTAATGGCTTCGAGTGATGTCCGTGTGTCTCTCTTTGAGCTAATAAACCAAAAAAGATGAAAAGGAATACTCGTTGTCTTCGTCACAGATCCTGATTTTGTGCCCCCAATTTTTCTTTACAAAGAGCTTTTTTAATCACAATTTTCATTTGTTGCCGTAGAAATTTAATCATCATTACCCATGCATTGGCTATAGAACCCCCCCCCAATGATAAATCACCCCAGGCAGTGGTACGTTCAGTGTCGAATAGCGTGAGTGCTGAGCACGGCCATTGGTCGCAAAGCGCACACCACCGCTAGTCTCGGCTCTTTGTATTTAATAAACGCCTAATTAAGGAAGTCTGGGTATTACAGGGGAAGAACAGCTTCCAAAGTCGGAAGGGGATGAATAACAAGTTCTTTTTTTATTTTTTATTTTCTTCTGGATTTTGTAAAACTCAATCAGAGCGTATCCACCAAGGTCGAGACACAGCTGCATATTCTAATCATCGTTCGGATTTTTTTCATTAATTTTCGGTACTGTTCTCTTTCTTCTAATAACACCCCCCACCTTTCACCAATTGTTACTTTGGTTCTGGTAAAAAAAGCCACCCTTTGTTTGCTAGGAACTCGGGAAAGTGCTGTGCCTAACTGCTTTGACCGGGACCGAATTTGTTCCTCCCCGTACCAACCGCCCTCCACCCCCCCTCGGGGAGCTCGGCAGATTTTTCCATTCCCTTCCTGAGCGCGTAAAAGCTTCTCGGCCGTTGATTAACTGCTAAAGAAACAACTAGTGGCAAATATCCCTTAATTAAAGTCGCCCAGGGTGCTCTATCCCCTTGTAATCTCGTCAGAAAGGATTATGGTAAAGTAGGCACAGATTAATTTTTTGAGGTACAGTAACAATCTGTGGTGCGGCCCTTTTGTTTGGCAAAAATGAACTCGGATTCAAGTGAAAGTGTTGCAAATGTTGCCGCTCAGAAAAGACGGGATTTGGCCCTGCAACAACAGCCGAAACTTCGCCAACAGACTTCAGTCCCCCTTCCATTAAAATAACACAGCGTCATGGAAGAGTAGTTCTCAGCATATTTCATCTCTTTAATGAGCACACAATGAAGTACCTTTGATGCGGAGATCAATCTTTTGGGCGTTTGGGGATAAAAGGAATCCATTCAATTGCATTGTTAATTCATTTTGGATTAGAAGGGCCTTTGTCAAACGTGAGTCACCCTGCGCGCTAGTGTAATTATGCAGCACCGTTACCTACGATGCTTGGTACAAGTAAGCCATTTAAGTCAAGCGCACGGGTACAACGCACTAATAACGACAGTCGTTACAATCAGTCCCAGTGTAAGTGAGAAAAATGAGATCCGTAAATGAAGAGAAACACAGTCTGTTTGTCGAGTATTGAATAACATAGAAGAGCAAGTGACAACTTTTGTGATGCAAGCAGGCATAACAGTAATCCATCAACATGCATTTGCTATTCTTCATTAAGGCCTATCTCAAGAGAGATATTGGCAAGTTCAGTTTTCAGTTTAATTCGGTTTGAAAAAAAATTCCACTGATTTTTTGAAGATGACGAGGGCGTGGGGGGAGCGCTTTCTCCGGAAATATGACAAATAAAAAAGGGGGAAAAGAAAAGAAAAAAAATCGAAATAAATGGAAAAGAAGAGGGACGGGGATGGAAGCTTGAACACACCTCGGAATATGCCCCCTCCAACCGTTAATGGTTTACAGCTGCTGAAGATTGCTTTGCCTTACCCCGGGAAAAAGTCCTGGCGATGTCCGTGATTGTACAAGGGGTCTGGTTTGCTTGTCGTGACATGGGGTTGGTGGGGTTCTTTCAGTAATTCCTCTATGACCTTTAGCTGTATGACCAAATGTTTGGCCCATCCTGTCTTTGGGGAGGGAGGAGGGGATGTTGGGGGCGTTCACTTCACCCACAGCTTAATATGGATACAACCATCATTCAAACTATGAGACATAAGTGGATAACAGCAGACGACAATACCGTGTTACATTTCCGTTTTGTTGTCTCATTGCTTCGCACCTTCAGGTAACTTGAATCTCCGAAAGTTCAATGGTCGATATAGCAATAGTGGCAGCCCCCAGTCAGCCGCTGAGTAGGTCCTAATGGAAATAAATTTCTAGGAAAACAAGCTATGAGTAATGAACGAAATGATAACATTCCTATCAATTTACTCTCTAAATGCTTCGGAATGGAGGCAAACACATGAAAGATTTCATTTTTTTCTCAGGGAAAATCCCCCTCCCCGACAGGGCGTGGCTAAGCTATGCCTTAAGCTTACTCCCACCTTTCCATCAACACTCCAGAAAGGCAGATCCACTCCTGGCTGAATGATCTCAGCTGCAACAGAATAGAAAAGGAGGTTAAAATGAAACCTTCAAAGTGGAGCAAAACATACACAAACACGAGTTACAGCTAATTACATTCAATACCCTGGTTTATTTGGAATTAAAATATACCATTGGAATTTTAGAATTGGTTATACAGATAAAATAAGACAAAAATATATAACACGCGCAAAATGCAAAGCAAAATAAAGATATTCTCTGTCCCGTTTGTCTATGTCGAAGTCATATCTCTGCAACGAAGTCCAATTGTAGCTCAATAAAAAACTTGAAATGCGATAGTCAATAACACCATTAATCTTTTTGTAATACACGTCGTGAAATAAAATAGTCACTTATATTGTCACTTTGCCTAATGATTCGATTCGTTCGTCAAATTCTACCTACGCGTCATGTGCATTTGCACCTCCTCGGGCTGTGTTGACGAACAGAAAGGAAACTGTTACTTTTCCTCGCTTTCTCCCGCGCGCAGAGATGGTCCGTCTTCAGGCTGTTGGGAGTACTTCACACCCTATCGATCGCCGTGAAGAATGAACCAGGCCCGGCGCGTGGCCGGGCCTAAGCCGGACCAACAATGGCCGGCTACAATCCGGGTCCCGGGGCATACCTTGCTCTCACTTTATTGTGGTGTTCTACAGTCCCGACCAATCAACCCGGAACCGTGGGGGACTTCGGGAGCTCCACCGTCACCTCGACAGCTACGGGACGTTGAAACTGTATTGTTCGGGGGCCAAGCACAAAAGCATGGCCCGGCCAGAAGTCACACACTCGGGGGCATCATTAACTGTGATTACTCCAAAAAAGTCCGACTTAAAATGTTCATTTCCTTAATGCCTTTTATGCAGGGGCCAGCACAGGAAAATAATTGATTATTTCAGGCAAGATTAACGTTTTCTTGTATTTTTTTCATGGGGGGTGGGGGGTGGTTGATTTTTGTGTCGAGCCCCCGAGGATGCTTGGCTGTGGGGAGTCCATCTGTCCCCGTTCATGCATGCTGTACCCGGTCAAACTTCCACTCCGTTCTGCTCAACCCAACGTGCCTTGCAATCCACACCCCACAGAAAAATAATAATATAAAAATACATACGCTTTATTAAACGACTTTCCGATTAGCTAAACATGTATTTTATTTCCGCGCCACTATCCCCAAATGTTATCAGCTCCAATTTAAGAGCGGGACTCGCAAACTGTAACCGATATTATAATGGAATTAAGGTAAATTGCCCCCGCCATTTCAACCGTTGTCTCGCACAGGTTCGTCCTACGGATTAAACCATATCGCCTTACATACTGTGCACGCGCGCGCAATATTAAATGAACATCATTCGAAAGTGATCGTGTAATATGAATTGTCAGCAAATTTCGCAGACAGTTAATAGAGAGGGAAAAAAACACGACGTCGACAAAGCTCCAGGGTCGTCGTTCCATTAAGGAAGTCCTGGAAATCCGGAACGATTTTTGGGTGGGAAGTAGTACATTTTGTAAAAAAAAAGCAATATGAGTTTTGTCAGATACACTCCGATGTGGAGATCGAGAGCGGACCAAAATGAGAAACACGATCGGGAAAATATTCCCACAAAGCGTCAGGCACGAAGTCAGAAAAATTGACGTTGGACGATTAAATGACACTGTCCCTCAAACGTAGACAAACCTTTCTGCATGTTTCTCGGAAGGTACGAAGCGCAACGGTACAATTGTTCTCCCTCGGAGGACTTATCTGTCAATTCATCAGAAATACCTGGGTGTGTGCAAGGTACACGAGGCTAGAGATCAGAAGAGACATCAACTTGGTGGAAAGATCGCATGGGAAATACTTCTTTTGGAGAGACTCTCTGAAAAAGAGTTGAGAAAATGCGCGAGCACACAGATTGTGTTGTTCAAGCAAGGAACCTTAAAAGCAAATGCTACAAGAAACTTATATGATAACAAACGTCAAATAAAAAGAAACAATTATATACAGTTGAAGCATGACCAGCTGAACCCCTCTTTTTTGTGGTACTGCTTTCTAGAGCGAAATGAAAAAGATCTGTAAAAACAGAAAAAAAATCTGAGAAAACTGAATATGTATACCGCATCTATCTATAGTTTAGCCTAAGCTGACACATTCAGCAGCGCCACACAACCCTCTGGTTTTATGACCTCCATTATTATCCTTTACATAATTTATGGTACAATTCCTTTTATTCACAGGCTTGTCGATTTCTTATTTTTGTTCCCTTCCAGAAAACCAAGCCACTCTGAGCCATTTCTCTCGGCGGCTCTTATCTTCGCACAGCGTGGGACTCGACTAGACCTGAATAACCACGGTGAATACCCACGGTGTACCAGCGTTTAACTTTGTCTGAACAACAATGCACCAGTTCGGGTTTTTTCAGTTCAATGCATTGATCAATTATTTGTTTGATGCTAATTTAAGAGACGCTGTATTGTAAACTTATAGATTAATCGATACATAAGTTCATTTACTGCGTTGTATATATAGAAATAGGACCCAGTTTCTCATATATATAGTTTTGAACATTTCTTAATGTGGACATGCATACAACAACAAAGTCAAAGTGTAACGTAGAAGTTGCTCAATGTCGGGGGCGGGGGGGGGTAAAAAGTAAATAAATCAAATGTAAATGAACAATTGTTTAAACTGACGCTTAACAGAAGACAGAGGACAGTGTCCTCAATCACTTTTGAAAATAACTGCAATATCTTGTAACTACTCCAAATTTCGTAGGTTTTCACATAGGCCTATCTCCCCTAAACACGTTCGATGCGCCATCTTTGATGCAATGCAGTATGCATTGTTCCGGTATTAATTAATACATTACCAACCGATTACCTTTTCTAGTCTGTATGCGTTTCTCACTGGCTTTTGTTCGGTGTGTTTGAGAAAACGTCACAAGTTACACTTTCGCAAGAGTAACCAAGTTCTGTGTTTAATACGAAAGGTTGTCGACAATTATTCACCCTTTAAATTCACAGCTAAAAATTTGTCGAACTTGGTGTGTTAAGACCCTTGATGCACGAAAATCATATACTTTAAACAAAAATAAATAAATTGATTAAAAAAGCATGATGTCGGTACTTTTGTCTCAAAATGCACAATGAAGAGTTTTCTCACCCCAAAAATACATTAGAAGTTGTTGTCAATGTTTATAAAGGCGTGCTACACAAATATTGTATGTGATAAAATTGAAACCCGAGTCTGATCGAATAGGCCATGTTCCACTCACTACACCGTCAGTTACATTGTATATTAATAATGTGCAAAGTCCATCAAATAACTGTTCTTGTGTACATTCAGTTTCCTGATTAATTGAATTCTCTAATTACATGAAATATTCACAAATGCTCCAATGGAGCGAGTTGAAAATGTTCACCAGCCGGGTATTCTGATAAGGCCCATTTTGGCACCTTCTCGTGAAACCTGTTTGGGTGGAGTGGGGATGAATGGAATGTTTTGAAGCTATGTAATAGATTATATAACAGATACATAGGAAAGCGAGAAAATCACATTTTAACAATCGTCGACTACTGCCGTGTGAGACAGTAATGTGTACTTATAGGGCTAAAAACGCACATTACAAGTCAACAAATCTTTCCTACGCTGTATCAGTAAGCCACAAATATTTCTGACAAAAGTCCTTTGGGTTTGAAATGCTATGTCGTGGGCGCATTAAACATGCATGCTTGGCCTCCACTTCTTGGGCACTTTGCTCTTAAGGTGCTATTTTAAGGACACAATTCCTTGTAGAGAACATAAAGCTACAAGGATTGGATTTTTTTTAACGTTTTGTCATTCTGTCGTGTTGTGCAACATTTGAAATACCAAATGCTGAAAATTCAACACTTTGAAAGTGTGTTCACTGACCGAACTAAATGGGAGTGTTGGATTCAACACTTCGGTTTTAGCGTGAGAGTGCAACGTTTGGTTTTTGACTTTTCAATATTAAATACTTATATTCTTATTATTCTCTTGCTGTATTATGGTACAATTTTTGTCTTTCGATGAATATCGATCTATATACGCCAAACTTAATCACTACTAATTTGCTTTTTATTTATGTTATTTATTTGTAAAAAAAAGCTAAAAATGTTGTTAAGAAACTAAAGTTAATTAGACTTTCTTGTTGATCGTCTTCAAATACACATTGATGCACCATCTGAAAATTGTAAATTTGTATTCATGGTAAGCAAAATAAACGCTTCATGTACAAATCTGCGTGCGAGACATGTAGAAATACCTTATCCGTTGTCTAAACGCTCACAAATGATCACACAAGCGTAATTTTCAGCTCTTGATCTAGGCCCTGTATGAAATCATTAATATGCAACTATTTTTCTTGCTCGGGAACAGGAAAGACCATAATCCCAACTTTAACCTTACTACGTTAAACTCGTGGCGTGTCGGGGGAGGGGAGTCCCTCGGAGAGATGTCACCAATGTCCTTTTTTTTTCTTTTTGAGGAATATGGGTGATTCACAATAGTGCGCCTTCAAGAGTTTGCAATGCGTTGGCCAGTCACAAAGCGCGAAATTTGTCGACCCCTTTCAAACGCGCATTGGGTCGACAGATTTCGCAAGTCGTGATTGGCTAACGTGTTGCAAAGTCATGGAGGCGCGCCATTGAATCGCTCGTGCAAACGTATTTCATGTATATCAAAAACCGTACCATCACCTTTCTTGACAGTGGGGTCATCTGAGATTCTTTTACAGGTTAAAAATTGAGTCATTTTCAGAAAAAACTTCCATAATTCCCCCACCCATCAAGACTTCCATTCCCCACCCAAGACTTCCCTAACTCAAGACCTACCTATACCCCCTACCTAGTACCTACCAAACCCCCCACCCACCTACCCACCCAAACATCGATGAAACCGGAAAGTCTGGGGGGGGGGGGCTAAATTCATGAAACTCGGGCTCTCAAACCGAAGACGAAACCAGAGGTACCTGAACGCCGTGCTCTGGAGAATGCGGATACCGTCGCCCAGTTCTGACGCCAGTGTTGGGGTAAAGACTGGGTTGGGAGAAGGTAAGACATGGAATTTTAACCGTGCCTCCATTTACATCTGAACAGAGAATCATGGGGAGGATAACTGCGTGAGATTTGAAGCCAAATCTCGTTTCAAACAGGCACTGTCCCGCCTGTTCATCGCAACTCTTGTCCCAGGCACAGTTGCGACGGCTGGCCTGTCTTATAGCAAAGATCGAAGTATCAAACTAACTATTCTGAGATAAACTCACAAGGTTCCAATCGACTGAACACCCATCCATAGCGGCCATCGCGAAAGGTATCTTACGTCGGCTATAAGCACCAGCGGAGGAGCTCCAATGCACCAGGTCCTTCTACATAAAAGGTCTATTCAAGTCTTCTTTAATGTAACTTCTCAAGACTTACACATGCTACATTGATTTCTACGTTGCGCTTTTATAATGTCGCATAGCGTTTCCTCTCTGTATATAAGAATAGAACAATTCTCTTTATGTACATTCTGAGAAAAGACAGAACTATGGTTACATCTACAAGCTTACATCATCTTTTTTAAACTTCTGTTCCTTTCAAAACCACAATAGGTGGAGAAACCTCTTGAAACATGCAAATTGAAAATTCTGTAATTGAAAAAGCAAAGATTAATGTTTTGAGAAAGAAATACATTAATGAAACTTTAAATTGAGTGCCAGCTTGACAAAGGTCATCGCTGAAATGATAAATTTGTCACTATTAGGTGATTTGCAAATCTTGCAGAAAGACCTCCTTTAACCCGGGTTACCCTGCTTCAGAAATCAACGAATCCTGTAAGATGCATGATGAGGTATTTTTGGAACTGGTTGTCAACACCACATAAATCTAAGCTATTTCACAACTTCCCTGCAAACGAAGCTGAAAAGATGTTTATTCCAAGTTTCGTTGACGGGAATAAACAATCTCTGTTCCTGGTCAGAATGCCAGTCCTTACCTCATGACTCCCAAAGCTAACGCCGGTGTGCTGTGGTATTTTGACTCCGTGAAAGGTGGACGCCTTAACTGTTCTGAGCATGTCCGATGCACAATTAATGAGAAGAAAAAGGAACAGCTTGGGAGTCCTCACCAAGTGGGAAAAAACCTTGGATTTTCATGAAGTCATAAATCCACATGACACCGGTAGCTGTTTACATTGGAGATGCGGTAAGCCAGGTGAATGTTAACTGTCCTGCTCAGGGACACAGCACGTAGCACAAACTTGCATTTGAAGTTCTCGCCTTTCAAATACAACAGCCAGCCATAAAATAGTAACATACAAAACAGCTTACATCATCTCACTCATCAGAAATATTCACGGTTTCCAAGTTTGCCAATTTTAAAATTGAATATTTTACATTCCCAAGTAAATACCAAGGCAAATCATTTACAGTCCACAGGATTTTTTGAATGTAAAAAAATACAATCGAGAGAAGACTTGCAGATTATTTATAGACTTAGCTCTTCACTGATAAACTTCTGTTGAAAATATTATTTGGGATTATGTTTCCATTGTTGTCTGATCTGGGGAAAAATGGGAAGAACAGCAAGGTCGTCTGGAAGAACAGGAAAGATCAGCAATAAAATATAAATGTATACTAAGGCTTAGATTTACCCTTTTTGTACTTAACAAGATGTCAAAGATTTACAAAGCATCACATTTCTCAGAGTTTTCCACAACATCAACCTCACAGCTGCATATTTGTTTGTTTGTTTTTTTTACCAGCTAAATCAACCTGGGGACAAAAGGTTGTGCAGTGATATCTGCCCTCTTGTGATAAAATCTAGCTGTTAACACTGAATCAAAGGCACTTCTTCAATTTCCAATGAGCCTTTTGCGAGTTAAATTTGAATAAAATACGGTATACTGAGTTCTTTAAGTTCACATAAACATAGCAATTTGAATTCTCCATACTTAAGACACTATTGCTACACCTCTTGATTTGGGGCAAGCTTTTGCTTAGTTACGTAAGGGACACCTTGCATCAATACTCAATACACTGTTTTCAATGGATAAGAAGGGCACGGAGGAAGCAGTCCATTCCAGACTAAGTGGCTAAGTGGGACTAAGTGGCTTTGTACGAAACAACCAATATCTTATGATCTGAGGAATACTGAGTAATATGTACAATACAGTTGTAAAACTAAACGATTTCAAAATAGAGCAATACCTTCTATGATAAAAATTTTTTTAAATTTTTTTTCTTAATATCAGTATTTGTGTTTTACGAATTTAAGGTTTAATTTTTTGTTATTATTTTGTAATATTTTAATGGTTTTTAAATTGTAAAAACATGTTCAATTAAGCCTAACGGCTGCCATTCCTGATTTAATAAATCATAATGAATGAATGAATGGAAAGAGGTGGTGGCAGCTATGCAAAAGCTTGCCCCAAAATATCAAGAGGTACTGTGACACTGTCATTAGTCTGGGGAATTCAAATTATATTTATGTGCAATCAGATAATTCAGGCTACCAGATTTTATTCAAATTTAACTCGCAAAAGGCTTATACGGCTGCCAGTTGGTTGTTCAATTGCCCTGTTGGTTATCTGTGACATTTTAAAGTTCCATCAAATGTGAAAACATCTGTAGAAATTAACTATTCCTTTCAGAAGGTACATGATCCCTGAAACTGTCTCACAACCTCCCTTGGAGAAAAACTAACCAAAAAATCCACAATGGAAATCCTGAAGTTGACAGCACGTCCATAATGCAAACATAAATGATACAGCAGGGGATGTTACAGTTTTTAAGAGAAGTTTCATATGAGCAAACCACCAAAATACAACTAATGGATGGATGATAAGTGGGTTCTGCCGTTCCACTATTCCAGAGAGGTTTCACAAGGACAACAAAAGAACATGCCTAAGCACATGATGTAAAAAAACATTTAACCACTTTGAAAATTGCTCTTCAGAATCGATCCTCCAGATTGGAATGCACATGTGCTAAATTTCACAGTGCCTTGAGAAATGACTAACATAAGATTTGAAGACTTGGTGGAAACATGGAGGAATAAGACACGAGGGGAATACACACACCCACCCATTCTTGTCTTGTCTGTATACACATTTCAAAATACAACTGCAACTATCAGGAGTGCATATTAACTTGATAAAGGCCAAAACAAAATAAAGCAGACTGTTATACAGTGGTACACTGCAGTCAAACAAGGTTGTGGGGAGGGGTGGTACTTTTTACCATGGGGGGGATTGACTAAAAGCCATTCAGGTTGGTGTTAGGATTTGAAGCTTCAGGGTCCATCTTCAATAAGGCTGATTTCCAGTCTTGGAACACGCCCATCTTTCAGCACCCCCTGGCTCCGCCCCCAAAGGGTTAGACTATGCACTGCAGTATTGTGCGTGAAACCTGTGTTGCTGCAGGATGGTGTGGTGGCTTCTAATCACTGTCTTCATCATCCAAGTAATCCTCGTCGTCAATTCCTACAACGTCAAAGTGATACCCGAAGAGAACATGATATTAGCATGTGCTAAGCAGAGAAATGCAAACCTCACCCAAAGGTGTTTAATTGTTTAATATCACATTAAAATAAAATATTGCCCCCTTTAATGGGGTATGTGACCCCCACTGACACCGCACTGACACATCCCACCCTGATCTGCCAATTCCAAGTATGGAGTAGTTTGCAAAGTATGTACACATGAAGCAGAGGTGGGGATGCTGACATGGCATACTCTGTGAGGGTAGGGGAGGAAGGAGGTCACAGCTGACACCTACAAATGAAGGATGAAAAGCTGCTCCACGTAAATTTTCGAGAAATCACCATTCATGTTCAATACCTACCAGGAGCAGTATTTACAGGATAGTCTGAAAAGTTACCAAGAAATATCGTACGTGCATGCGCACAAGGAAAGGTTGCGTTCAGAAAGTCAGAATTTTGTATGTACTTTCCAAAGCTACTTATCAAGCCCTCTCATTCAGTCTCATGAGGGTCGGCTCTAAAATTTCACCCCTGTCAATACAGATTGCTCAGTAAATCAACAATTTCTTAAGCCAAGAGTACTATTCCTCACTTGTTGTATGTGGTGCAAGAAGGGCAGCCGTTGCTGGGTCTTTGGAGGCAAGATCAAGAGGAACCTTTTCTTCTTTGTTCTTAATGTTCGTCCGTGCTCCTGTGAAAAGAGAACATCTTCCTGAAGTAATCTCACTTCAAAAATCAGAGCACAGTGCCACACAAGTTTGATGGCAATTGGAAAGTTTAGCCCTAACATCTCTGCTGCAAAGATTCACAGAATTCACATTTACGGAATCAATGAAAATACTCCAAATATTTGCCTTGCATTCAGACAAGGGTGAAGCCAGGACTAAATATTGGAGGACCAAAATTATTACTTTTGGGGTAACCAACAATTTGGAATTTTTATGAAACCTTTGAATGTTTTTGTTTTGGGAGGTCGGGCTGCATTATTGAGGTTTTCACAAGCTTTTAGAAGGAACGAAACTAAAATAAACCCAAACTGCCTTTCTCTCTGGTTCAACGCAAAACACAGCAGGGTTTTCTGCTGATCGGGCATGCCCCCCTCAATCCGCCTCTGCATTAAGACAGTGTGATGTTCCTGAACCAAACTTGTATCCAGCCAAGGGGGCATCAACTTTGGGAACTAAACTGTGTTAAAGACACCCCAACCATGGGTGTCCAAAGGGCCCCCTTGGCCCCAGGAAAAAACCTAAGGGGATGAAAATCACCAATTTGTCCCCTTTTCTCTCTTTAGAGTACATCACTTCGATGCCAAAAAGTACTTTTGCCACCCCAAACCTGGAAAACATCCTGGTGATGCCTACAGCTGGAAACCTGCCCCCCCCCTAGCTGACCTACCTTTACCCAGCAGCATTTTGACGACCTCTGCATGACCCTTCCAGGCTGCAGCGTGCAGTGCCGTGTCTCCAATCTTGTTCTGTGTATTGATCTCCACCCTGGGCTGGCCGAGGAGAATACTGACGCACTCTATGTGGCCTCCGTGGCAAGCCCAGTAAAGGGGAGTGGACCCTGACTTATCCAAACCATTCACGGACACCTGGAGTCGTAGGAAATTCAGAATTGCCGTTTACTCTGACACTTTGCTTAGGAATTGCCTTCCCGAACCTGCTTAAATTCTTTCCAATGCAGGAACCCCAGGCCACATTATTTGTAATTGAATCTATCTCCAGGCTCAAACCCTTTGTAAAGTAACACATGCTGGACTCATGAAAACTCCTCTGAAACCTTGTGATGTGCTTGTGGTGATCTGGAAATGTTAGGCTTGATCAATTTGGTGTAGGGTCTAATCAAAAGTGCCACATCACCAGACAGTTTCCTCAGGATCAACTGCCACGGAAGTGGGCAAGTATTTGGATAGCAGCCGTACGGCGTATGTTGTTTATTAGACAATGAGATTTAATCTTAACTAAAAGTACCATAAATTCTTTATTAAATGGCATAATGATTGCCACTTATGTACAGTTATTGTTTACCAAGCCAAACCACAACTGGGTAGTGGCTCCACATTTTCCTCAAACGTTTTGCCATTTACAAAGCATTAAAGGCTTGCCTATTGTCTAAGCACTGGGTCTCGCACCCACAGTCTTTGCCCACATTGCTGATGGATGTGAGTGGATCAGTGAGAGTGACCTATTCAAGACGGGCCTGCATGCCTGAAGACCGTTACAGTTTCAAGTTCAATCTACAGAACTCATATAAAAATCATACAGGGTTTTATGAAAACTCACCCAAAAGTTCTTGCTCTGCAGTCAGTATGACATTTAAAACTCTTTGGAGTGTGCCATCTTTAAAAATGTTTTCAAGCTACAATGTTTGCAGAAAATAATGGAAAATAAATTTGGTTCCCCCCCAATGATCCCATAGACTAGTGTACATTTATCTCCTGCTTTTTATGGTTGAAATTCTAAAATCTTGAACACTGGCTCCAACACTGCCACAGAGATGCTGGCCTCTCCAGCTCAACATCACCGGTCTAACAGGTGCATGGATTTACAGTTAAGGAATTCTACTGACTTCGTTCTGAGTCTGGTTAAATTGACTTGCCCAGTCACTGCCTAGAGTCTGTTTATTTGTAAATGGCTATAACTGAGCCACGTCCATGCAAATACGCAGAGTAGAGTGTGGGGGAAAAGGCACCCGCCATGAGACCAGAAAAAGTTTTTGCAAACCTACTGTATGCAGTTTCTGTAAATTGGGCAATAAACATTCAAACAAATATGAGTGTGTATCACAAGTCCGAAGCCTCATAGGTCCGACGCCTCAAAAGTTCGAATTTTCGGACTTATGAGGTGTCGGAATAATGAGGCGTTGGATTTATGGGCAATTTTTCTTATTAGCCTCATAGTTCCGACGCCTCAAAGGTCCGATGCCTCATAAATCCGACGTCGGATCAATGAGATGTCAGACTTAACATGAGGCATCAGTGTGATTGACTATGAAACATGAAGGAGTGCAGGCCATACACCATACTTGACACGGGGTACCAGTCTTGTTCCTAGTGCTGTTTTCATACGCTCGTAATGAGCATCAAATCAAACGTTGGCTTTTTGAGGCGTCAGTCCTTTTGTTTTGAGGTGTGTGATTGCACTCCCAAGCCATCACACGCCTAACAGTTTTCCGAGAAGTGCAAATAGTTGCACGCCTGAAACCATCCGTACTGCACTCCTCGGCATGAGTTTACTTTATAATTATACTTTGCAATTGCTGAGAGAAATGAAACGAAAAGAATCAAACATGAGGCCAACCTAACACTTGGTGATGACGGAATCATTTTTTATTCTCCCGGCGAAACAGTTTTGCGTGACAGCTTTGTCAGTGTACAATCGTTCAGCACACACACGTCGCACAGCACAGCAATGCTTGCTGCATACACCAGACTGTTCATGGCTTTATGAGCTTGTACACGTCACACGGACTTATGAGGCGTTGGACCTATGAGGCGTCAGACTCGAGGACTTTTTAAAATGCTTTTTTCGGACTTATGAGGCGTTGGAATTATGATGTGTCAGACTTACGAGCTGACCCCACAAATGTAAGTGTCCATAAAAAACATTAACTGCATTGTAAGTATGTCATGAGGTTGGAATTTTATGCACAAAATGCCCCTTTAGGTACCAAGTGGATGAAGTGGTCAGTGAATCAAGCCCCAGAGGGTCATCAAGGCAAGTTGGCCCATTGATAACACGATGCTCTGAGTCCCTTGGAATGTGGGGCTGAGGTTAATGCATCCAGAGGTCGACTTTTTTTTAAAAAGAAATGTTATCTTTTTACAATAAGGGGGTGAAACTTTTATTCTAATCGGTAATATATTCAGATGGTCAACTTTTTTAAAAGTTTAAAAATCAACTCAAACATTTTGTTGAAAAACTGAGTTGGAACTACATGTATGGGAGCAAAGAGCTTGCATCGGATGAGACTAGTATTGATGTTTTTATTCTGTGACGGTATTTTCATATGAAGAAAACACTTGTCTCTGCAAAGCATCTTCTTACTGTGAAATGTCTGTTTTCAATCAGGATTGTCCTCGCCAGCTCCCTGTTTGACTGTGAGCTCTGCACGAGGTGGAATTTGGGACACAAAGAAACCTTTGATCTCATGTCCTTGCTCAACTTCTGTTTGTCATCACTTCCACTTTTTGTGAGTCGCTGTTGTCCAGGCTGCTTGGGCTAGGACGATCAGGTTCTAGTTTGGTTCACTGAGACCCACAATCAGTGCTACTAAAAACATCTCATGACAAGCCGTAGGGGCGAGAGTGTTGCAAACTACATGTACATGTAGGATGCTCTCGAATAAAGAGTAGGGAAAATATATAACAGTGTGACATGTGAAGACTAGAACACTGTACTACAAGCAAGGGCAATTAATGGGGCAGTCAAAAACCTGGAGATTATGATGCAGATGCACATGTACAGTCAAGCGCTACATCTGCAGTTGGGGAATACTTACAAGATTGGCGAGAGACTCTTTCAGGAAGTCCACATTTCCCCGTTTTGATGCTTCATGGAGAGGGTTGTCTATCTGTGCTGCACTCTGCTCAACTGGGGGGGGGGAGAAGAGGAAATTCAGTGTTTCATCAGAGGGTGATTGTATCTGTTCAAAGAGATTTATAAACGTAATAAAAAAATCACACTTACAAATCAGGCAGATAGAGCAAGAATACAGTAATTTCGATGTTATGACCTGTTACTCCAAATTAGCAAAATGTCATTAACTTTTTCGTGTTGTTACCTGTTATAAATCACTTTAGGAATTTGAAGAGGATCGTGTACAAGTAATCATATAACTAGGATGAAATTTCTGGAGAAGCACACAGGGACACACACTTTTTTTCTCAAGTGGGCACAGAAAGCAAATAAAGTGTGACATGTATGTTGTGTTCATTTAGAGGGGATGTGGGACAGGGGGTACAGACATCTGGGGGGGGGACATGTCCCTTGTGCAGTATGCAGCCCACTGGGTATACCACTGTATGCAAGATATCTGCCAATATTGCCATATTTTAGTATTGATTAAATTGACTACCTAATATCGATACTTAATAAACCGATTCTCCCATTTTTTATTAGTACCATAGCCAACAAAAGGGACAGACAAAACTACAATACAAACACATCAAAGGGCAGGTTTATGTTCAGTCTGTATGTGGTGATCTGATCTTTAGCAGTGAAAGGCTGGTGGCATTCACTGTGATTATTTTATCAATTTACAGGAAACAGAAACAGCTGTCATCCCCCTCCAATATTAAATAATCAGAATTTCCTTTTTCTTCTAAAGCTGTATTATTTATTGTTGGGACGGTAAGCCAACGAACTAAGAATTATGAAAATGATGGATTTTCACACAGGTAGGTATTATTTCCTCTTTCAAAAATGGTTGTTTGATCTCGGTCTCTTTTAAGATCTGCTTAAAACAGAAAGAAGAACTGTTCTCTGTGACAGATTGAAAAGAATTTGGAGTTGAAATTCTGAATATACAAAGTTTTTACAGTTGGCCCAAATATGATTAAAAGATAGAAACAAGGAAACAAATTTTTTGAAGTGCATTTCTAAACACCATTGTGACACTTCCTTGTTTTCCCATTATTAGAAATCGACTGCTACCAACGGCACTGGTGTGTGTGATGTGACAGAAGGAACATGGCTTTACCATGGGAGAAAACAAAAACGGATAAAAAAACAGGACGTAAAATTGGACAGGCTGTCATACATCCACTGACAACCGCATACTACTCACTATAATTGCTTGGAATCAAACCCGTCTTCTTGCCACATCGAGCCCTGTACCAGTCTTTGTTGGACTGCAAAATGCACAAAAATGTTCACAAACAAAAGCTATCTGCAGCTATGAATTTCAACTTTCAACTTGTGCACTGGAACCCAAAGTTCAGCATTTAAATCAACCTTTCATCTATGTGTCCCTGGCTTCAACTCTCATCGGATTAGTACATGTACGTGTACTGAGTTCTCAATCATGAACTTGACCTGTAGGTTGCCATGGAAGTTTAGCTTAATGTCCAACTTCCAAAAATCAACTGCTTGTCTTTTCCTCATATATTAAGTAATGCTTGTGAACTAAAAGCAACTGATATTTTGGGAGAATTCTTGGTTTTAATACAAAAGGAATACAGAAAGCAAAAAAAGGGGACTAAAGGTTCGTCTACTGACCATGTCTGTGACATAGAGAAGGTCTCCTTCTTCAAAACTCAGCTCATCGCTCTGGTGAAAAGATAAAGAGACTTGTGTAATACTGCAACATTCTTTATCCATTAACAAACTCAATGAACAGAGCTACGGTACAGTGGTAGTCTGAATTTCCCATCAGTCAAAACTTTTTTTCAGCTCAACTTTATTTGGATGTTCTCATAATGTGCAGCATTACTGAAATTCTGACATAATGAACTTACATGTTGGGCCTGGTAGTTATAGAGTGCTCTGAAAACTTTGACCTGACCTGAAATGAGAGATACACGAAACAACCAACACATGTAATCTAGTGGTTAAACATGTACATGTACTTCCCATTTTGTCTGCAACACTGCAAAATCTCATCGGTCTTTCAATTACATTTACAACCATATCATTTCTGGGATGGTTTGATACACTGACTGATTACATAATGACCTATAAATTATTTTCAGCCACGAAATGCAAATGAGTATATTACTGCTCTTAATTATTCAGCATACACCAGTGTTGTCGTCAAGACCAGGCAGTCCAAGACCAAGGCCAACAGACAAAGACCAGGCCAGAAAAAGTAAAGCGTGGCCAAAACCGAGACCAAGACCAGCTGCCGGAGACCAAGACCAAAACCACATTTGTAAATAAATGGAAGGAAATCATCTCTGTACATTGACATAAAACTGTGAGGATGGGCTATAAACCACAGAACTACATGTACACATTAGTTTGACAGAATGGTCCTGGAATTTAGTATTAATGTTTTTTGTTGTTACTTTGCAGTTTGCATTCTTCAATGATGGGTTCACTTTTTGAACTGCTCTGAATGTCGTGACATCAATGAACTTACACACTACCAAGGCAAAGGTACACGGCACACCACGTTGTGCCACAAATGCTATCATGGAACAGTGTCTTGTTAGTCAAGTTTGAGATTAACAAACAGAGCATAAATAAGCGTCTAGTTACCAGACCATGCAACGTGACTACAGGTTCACAGGTACCCCGACGCCAACAAATCACGTATCTTTTTACGGTCAGTAACCAGTGAAAATTTTTTGGGGGGCTGTCACACATTGTCTTCTTCCAGGTGCAAGGTTCAACTTTGCGTGGGGAAGTTTGACTGCCAGTGCTAAAGCTCTAAACCTCAGCCATGCAACTTTTAACTTTGGGTGCGCACTTAACTCACGCAAAGGGTGAAAGTTTGCACATGACGCTCTACTGCTAGCCGTAGCTACAACGAACGCTCGTACGTACAGTCCTTAACAGCTGTACTTACATCTTGTGGGGTCTCGATTCAAGTTTTTCATATACCGTAGGCCTACAAACAATCAAATTCATCACCAGTCAGGTATGAAATGGTGCAAAGTGTTTTCTTCAATTGGTCTTGTACTAGTCTTGGCCAACAATTCCAAGAACGGGAGGTGCGAGATCAAGACCAAGACCGAAACCACTGATCTGAGATCAAGACCAGCATGTTCAACACCAAGACCTAGTTCAAACTGGTCTTGAGGTCGAGACTGGTGACGACTACAACACTGGCATACAAATATCCCCTGAAACAGAAACAGGATCATATTAAACTAAAATAAGTGCCAGAGTTGTTGACTTCAGTCACTGACATGGATGTGAATTAAAAAAATTTTTTGACTTGGATGGAACTTAAAGAAAAAAACAACAACTTGTGGCCTGACTTTATAGGACAACATTTTGGGACTTGAACTTGCAAAACTTGACTAATGACTTGACTTGCTGCAACATGACTTGTGACTTGACTTTTAGAAACAAAGAACTTAATACCACAACATTGGGTGTTTTCTAGAAAGCGGCTGACAGATAATGCAAATAAATGTTACCCTTTCTGGAAGTCACATAATCAAAGATTTTTCCTTTACTCCTACAAATAAACAGGTAATGCGGAAGAATTTGGTATTGGACGATCACAGTTTTCAGTGTCACAGATGTGAATACCAATGCCATCTAGTATATTCAGGGGGATTTTAGCAATAAGAGGGGCTAAGTAATTAAGGGAAGGGGTCCTTAAAAGGGACCCTAACAGTCCAATACAAAATTCTTTCCTACAGTTACTTTTTTTTAGATTCTGGGAACTGAGAATTTTCATGCACATGGACAGATTGAGAACCACATTTTATGGAGAGAGTGGGACTATTATGTATATGTGTGTTTTTTTTTTTGGGGGGGGAATTTGGAATTATCTGATTTAATCTTTTATGGCCTTTCTGAGGGTGGGGCTACACACTTCGTAAATGAACAACATTGTGGAAGTTTTTTTGGGGTGCAGAATTGTCACAATCCCACCAGAAAGTTTGTCGAGCCTGTCATCGGCTACTTATTTTGATCCCGAATGACTACGCCCGATTTACATGTAAATGTCAAAGTAGTCTTGTTGGAAATGAAACAAAGACTCCCTGTCAATCCTCTGTGCTGTTATGAACCCTCAATGTACATGTACACTGTACATCATGAACTGAGCTGAGAACATCTACTGCTCTGATCTATTATACAACTTGAAGCTTATGTATGCTTTAACCACCATGATAGACATTAACTTTTCTCTGTTCATAAAATATGCAATGTATGACCTGATGAACGCTCTGTCACAGTCATGACAGAAACAAACTCGCAGAGTGATGCGCAACTGAACCTGCACAAGAACCCAGATACATTTATGTCAGTCTGCACTCAACAACACCCGTTTTAATTACTTTTACAATTAAAGGTTGGTCCTGAAAAAGAGTATTCTGGCAATGTCTCTTGACTGTCAAGACCACATTTTGGGCTACATTTGGAAGAGAAACTTGCGAGAAAAATGCGACTTTCTTGCCTTCCCTCTGTCAATGTAATGCACAGTCAACTTGACACACACACACACACACACATGGCAGACTGTATATGAGCTGTGGCTGTTCTCTTCAACATGTTCAATACTCTTAATGGTCTTATTCCCTAATCTGCTTTTTGGGAAAGTCAGAGATCAGCTTTCGAATAAAACTATCCATTAACCAATTACAGACACTCTATCAAGCAGTTTTGGCTGTTATCTTCAATACTCTTACAATTGGCTCATTTCAACCAATAAGAGATCAGCTTTTTAATTAAACTTTTCAGTTATTAGTCAGAGACAACATGGTCTGTGTCAATGTTGTAGTTTTTACCCCATAATTTCCCTCAAAAAACAAAACCCTGCCGTCTTTCTACAAAATTAAGTTTGGTGAAATTATGTCATTGACTATTGTCATCTTGTTCTTCTAAATACTGCAACAACCTCCACCATGGGATATTTGAGAGGCAGGTCAATTCTGTCAATATGTCTGTACGATTTCCCGGGAAAACAAGTGCTTTCAATGTAGGCCTAAGTGGTATTACCTGGTTTAGGCACTGGCTTTGGCGGCGGTGGTGCACTTCTTGCTGGAGTTGTCATAGTTGAGCATTGACAAATAGGTCAAAAACAAGGAAAACGTTTTATTAAGATGTGAAACTTGAAAGAGAAGTGTGAAACGCGACAAAATGCCACAACCACTGGAACTTGTTACGTTTCCTCGTTAGGTCTGATTTCCGTCACTATCATCAACGCAGAATTCACCGGTGTACAAAGTGTCCAATGCAGGTGCCAGACTATGAGCTAAACCCGGAAGTGTATAAAATTCATAAACTGCGAACATTCATGTGTCCCAAAGATACGTGGTAATCGAATTACTCTGAAAACAAACTGGTATCTTCCAAACGGAACGAAAACAGCATTGTGCGCGCGCACGTCGTGAAGAACTTCATAAAAAATGGATATTTTTTAATCGTCACTGTATTTAACGTCGGTGACATCAGATTATGGCCGACATGGCCGACATGGCCGAGGGAGAGGAACTACCGCTTTCTATTCCTGTAAGTTTAATTCCATTCATGTCACTAGGCTGCCGGCGTGGCTGTCATCATTGACAGACTGCGTAATAAATTTTCTCATTACTTACGCCTCATCTCAAGTCAAGAGTTACTTGCAGAATTGCAAGTGCAAGTCACAACTCTGTGTGACTTTCAGGCTTACGACAATTGTCAATGTCATCGTGACGCTGTTGATGGGTTGTCGAATGCAGTCCAGTTAGATCAAATCAATGCTGATCAGGATAGTATTTACTTAGGTCAAAACGTCTACTTTCTCAATCAAATTTTCACTGAAAAAGCTGTCCAAAGTGATCCAAATCTCTCTAAAACTTTTGCCATGTGGTTTTCTGATCACCCAACTGATTGTTTTATGAATGACATTCGACATGTTCGAGCTGTTTGTTCACTTCCTCCTGAAGATAAAGATCCAAACATATCGTGCACTTTGTGTGCATTACACATTGTGTGTGACGTGTGTTTCTGGTTGATGGCCGACTGTTATGTATTGGCAGCGGAGGTGGAATCTTGTTCTCATTGCATGACCGTCGCATTCTAAAACCCATACTATATCAGTGTATATACAAACTCATAAGAAGTCATAGGGCTGTTAGTCACATGGAGTTGTAAGTTACACAGAGTTGTGACTTACAGTTCTTGAAATACTCAAGAGTAAAGATAGCGTCTGTCCCAACTGTAGCCACGATAGCTGGGACAGTCCCAACTGTAGTGCTATTGTTGACCAATTTCTGTAGAAAATTTCTTAACCTTATCCAAGTTTATGCATCTCTCACTTGACACAATTCATCTAAAATATGGCACTTTATCTATGACATGACATTGTAAATAATATGACTTTGGCACATACTTGGCACATGCACACTGGACCTCTGTGCTGTAGTTGGGCCGGCCCAACTATAGCACCTTAGTTTAGATGGGCCCAACTGTAGTTGAGATGGGCCCAACTATAGTTGGGACTGATGCTGTAGTTGGGGTGTAACATGCACATTTGTCATAGTCATTAAAAGTCTGTTCATACTTGGTGCCTCTAAAAGCAAACATGTATGTAAATTGTGACGTCAGATCAAAATGTTCATGCTGCAAATTTGCAAAAGTTGAACACGGTTTTAACGCAGCGAATTTCACATTTCATGAAGTCATCTTATTCAAAGTGTGCCGGCCTTAACCCCCACCCATTTACTGTACCAGCACTCATGGTTCTGACCATGGGTTCCATACTGGGGTACAGACCCCCACAACTATGGGGTAAGAAGAATTCCATATGGACACCACTAATACATGTAAGTCTCACAGTGTTTAGGCAGAGGGTATCGAGCGGCATCCGTAGCTCCTTTTCATGGTTCTAGGGGTCATACTATAGTGGTTGGCCATTTGGTTTTCTGACTTGGCATGACCAATCCAGTTATATTGTCATACTTTTCAGGACATTCATGATCAGTTTGCCGTTTGCACTAATGGTCAATTTTGTGCAATTTGTATCAAATCTTGGACTTTGCTTCCCCAGCTTCAAAAATAATCTTCCACAACCACAAATAGACCGCTTGTGGCTGCTAAGTTGCGTGACCTATCCGCCCTGAGCTGAAGTGCACCCCCAATCAGCTAAAGAAAGACAGATGATAGTAAGGTTATGCAAATCCATACATTCCGAAATAAATTCGTTGCACGTAGTCAGCCTGCTTAGCGTCAAACGTGCAAATACTTGGGTGCCTATGCAGTTAGTCGGTACCAAAAACACGCCCTCTTTTGTTCCGCTCAGAGCAGGTAGTGGGAATGGAACATCAACAAATGCAACGTCCTCCCGTAACGAAGTGTGTTTTTTTAATTTACTTGTAAGTATTATTTACCAACAATGAAGCCGATCGATGGTCAGTACAGTGCAGAGACCACTGATGTGCTGAGTTTTGTACTAACAATTGGCTTTATTTTCGGTAAACAGCACTGAAAGCACACATTGCTATGGGAGAACACCATGTTTGTTGATGTTTGATACCCACTATAGGTCAGATGACGGTGCAGGTGCAATCGGTCTATTACATGTAGAAACAGGGTAAATGGCTCATACAAAAAAAATAACTGAGGATTGGAAGACTGTTCCACAAGATCAACAGCTGCCATGATCAGTGGCATAGATGGGCTGATTGATGATCACACATTATTAAAGCTAAATAATAAGAATAAACTCTTGCTAAAATAAAGTAGAAATTGGAAGTTTTCCAGTTGCATGTACTCCTGTGATCAACCCAAACTGTACCCCCAGCTGTGGTTTGTTCCAAGTGTCTACTCTGAATTGAAGTGCACCCTCACTGGTACAGAAGAGACAAGCTGGCGTGAAGTTCTCAACTGGGTTCGTGTACATGTACAATGTACATGCAGATTCTTGTGGTTTTGTGTTTCTCAGTGGCACCTCTCACGCTAAATGCATGAACCCATCCATGTGGTGAGTTCCCACCAAAGGACCATTGCTAAAATGTAAACACACGCCCTCTGTTGTTCCCGCTCAGAGCAGATACTTTGGTTTTCCCAACTATTCCATAAGCGCTGTTGAGATAGTCCAAGCTACCTTTAGGACTGCCCTAGAGTCCGAGGAGCTACATGTAGGACCCAGCAAGTCGTCTCTTGTAACATTTGGCCATGATCTGGGCAGTTCAAAATATATTTTTTTCATGAAGGTCAAAGCAGTGTCTGAGCACTTCACTTGTCCCATCTGCATGGAGAGACTGTCCCAGACGTATATCACGCCCTGCGGCCATCGCTACTGCGGGATATGTATCAAAGAATGTGTCAACAGAAGGTAACCAGAAAAAGAATGTGAAATATGCACGAAAAAGGGGAGTGACCATTGGCAGGGATTGGGAGGATGACTTGGGTGGTATCGGTTTGGAACAGTATACAAATATTGAGTGGCTGAGAGTGGAATGGGAGAAATATTATCGTAAGGTAAAATCTGGACTTTAGTAGATTTTATCAAGTAATAGTATTCCTTCCCTTGTCATAACCCAAAGCCACTCTGTGCCCCTTGCCTTGCCTCATTTCAGGAGCCCTCTCTAGGACAGACAAGCCAACTTGTTACAATTTTTTAGTTCCTTATATCCTGTAGGAACAGTTTTAGAAGGGAGAGGGCACGAGAAGGTTTGCAGTTTGTTGGAGTAAAGTAACTTTATTCCTTTGCCATCCTACCGGGCTATTGTCTTTACTCTAACGACTTGTATTTGTCTCTTTCTGTATATATGTGCACATTTCTACAGATCAAAATGTCCCTGCTGCAACACAAAAGTGACAGCAGACAAGCTGTATCCTGATTGGGCGTTTGACAATCTCATCAGCATGGTTTCCACGGAGAAGTCCAAAGCGGAAGACCAATACTTTGTGAAGCTAATCCAAGAAGCAGGTATCAACAAAACAGAAACAAACAACCGTGACCATTAGACTAGACTGGCGTAAGTCCATCCTTTTAAAAAGACAGGCCACTCAGTAGCCAGGTGGCAAGACTATGGAGAAACTGACATTGTTCTTGCAGTAGTAAATTAAGTTTAATTCTGGTTTTATTCTCATCGAAAGGCACCGTGCAATATACATGTATGTAGAAAGTCAGACACTTGAAAATTTGACGTAAATAATACTGATTAGTGAATGGGTTGAAGTGTCAAAGCTCCGTGTATAGCACATCGATTTAGAGACTATTAGTATTTTTGGTCTGTAATGAACAGAAAGCCTAGAGAGAAACCTTTTTGTCTGCAGTCTCTTTGACAAACATTTTTTCCCAGCTCAATTTTCCCTCAGTTTTGATAATGGGGATTTTTTATACCAATCATGGTAAGCATAGACATGTAAAGCGTGCTTACTCCTTACTCAGAAAAAATAGTGATATGATGTTGGCTAGAAAAGCATGTGCATCGAGCCCTGAAACCATTGTTTAGCAGGTTACGTTCTCTGCCTGTTGGTTTCCTGCATTTCTGTCGTGGTGGGAAAGACATGTTTTAATGGACTCTTTAAGTGAAGTTGAGTTATTTTCTGTCAGCTGGTATGCTGCCCAGTGTGGTCGAAATTCACACTGGCAAAGTTACCTCCGTGGCTTGCACCAAACTGAGAAACTTGGATTCATTGTATTCAGGGACCATCTCGTGTTCTTGGCATTTTTGCAAGTTGGTGGGAGATGGGTTAGTAGCCTGTGTATTCAATTGATAAACTGAAAATTGTTGCTTGATTATCAATCATTTCATGCCTATTGCTGGGGGGCGGGGAGGTCAGAGGACAAGAGTATGCATTCATTGTATTGTACACTGGTGAAACTGATGGAAAACTGGGCAACCCTATCATGCCTTGCTTGTCATGTTTTCATACTGTTCGATTGTCAGGTCATCATGAACATGAAGGGGCCAATCACAGAGAGGAATCTCCGATTGTAGGAACGTTACAAAGTAAGAGACTGTGAAGACTAACGAGCTGTCCTCATATTCACAGATGAATGAGACGTTGGAGGATTTCTTTAGATATTCTCAAATTGTATTGGTTGCTTTGCAGCTGTTAAACATTGTCTCCCCCTGTAGTCCAACTAGATCAACTGGAGAAGGAGGCTACTTCTAGTCTCATTGTACATGTACCACAAGTTAGAGCCAATAAAATTCATCATCGGAAAAGAATGACTGAATTATTTTTAAACATGCTTATTGATATGTGGAGACACTGATACGTTTATGATAGTGTAATACCTCCTTGCAAATTTGAAGCTAGATGTTTCAATGAGTGCACTCAGAAGGATTTAGGCATTTCGCACCTTTTCAGTTCTTTCCGTCCATTCTTAAATTTGCCAGCAGACTAGAAATCCAGGAGTACATCTTCACATGATTGAGCTCTAGTTTTTTCTTCTGTGGTCAGCTAGTTTTTAACAATTGTAAAGACAGGAATTTCCACTTCAAACATGCCCTGCTGGTGTGTATGGGCGCTTCGTTTGGGTGGCCTCCCTTGCATATGCTGGATCCATTGCATATTTCATTGAAACAGTAGTGTTTTGTTCTAAAAGCTGCAGGGCCGTGGTAGAAGAAAATTTAACAATTGAAATGTTTCATGGTTATCCCGCTCCTCCAATCGTACTTTTTTTCTCAACGTGTACCCACATGGATTATTCACTTGCCACCTTCCCCCGATAAAAAGATGGAAGGACTTTGCCATTTGGGATCACATGTTCTCATCTTGGGAGTCATTGATCCTAATTCACAGAGCATCTCAAGACTGGGCTGGCTACCCATGAGCAGTACTATCAGGACTTCAAGCGGGAGTTCACCCAGCGAATTCAGGAGGTGAATTTACAGATGGAAGCACTGCAAGGAGGTAAAGACCAGGAAGTTGCCATCAAGAGCTTTCTTCCACAGTGTTGTAGTCGAGCCCATCACAAGTGCCCCTCCTAAGTCCCCCCCCAAGCCCCTTCACGAGTCCCCTCACAAGTCCTTTCACAAGACCAGTCATAAGTTACAGGATGAACAATGACAAGGAAACTGCCCTTGTCACAATTCATTGGAATAGTTAGTGGCTTGGCTCAAGACCAAATGACTTGTTGTGATGGACTTGAACACAACTCTAGATTTTCCTTGGAAGACACTGAGACAAGTATCAGCAGAATAACGGGAGGTGGGAAACTGAGCTACGATCCCCTAAAAGAGGCAACATTTTGCTTACAAATATATGTATATGACGAGAGGGCCAAATTTGTGGGACTTCAAGTTTCCACTCTCTAAACCATTTAAAAAAGTTAGCCTCACACCTGCCAAAGCCCATAGCAACTACTACAATATTCCTCCATTTGGGAGTTCCCCTCCCTTAAATTTGTTTTGGATCTTTCCTTGGAAAGAAGTGGATGCGTTTTGAGTGAGTATTTCAGAGGTTAAGTTGTGTAATTCAGCCCCCCCAAAAGAATCAGGTTTTATGATGGACAAAAGATGTTGGACTTACGACAGTAACCGGCAGACTTTTTTCAAAATCAATTCGACTCGCAGGTGGAGATGACGTGTTATTGGCCCAGCAGCTTCAAGAGCTGGAGGTCAAGAAACAAACGCTGCACACAGAACTTCGAACGTGTACCCAGTTACTAGTCGATGCATACGACAAGTGAGTATTTTGGGCCGTGTCCGAAACAGGCTTCCAGAGCTATGGCTAGGTCTATTGTCTGCGCGTCTCCGCACATTTTCCATGGAGCGAAGACCGAGACCTCGCTCTAGACAACAGTTTTGGATGCAGCCTTTTATTGTGTGGTGCCTGTATTGAGATGTACATAAGTTTGAGTATCACTTCAATGGTGATCTTCATAGTAACTGAGTTTTAACCACTCGCTGACATTATTATTCTACAGGAATCTTGTCCCAGCTGTTATCTTTGGCCCAAAATACCGACTGTTTAAAATGACAAGGTACCACGATTACTGGCCTTTACAAATTCTTGCCTTCAGTGATCCTTCACTGAAGATTTGTGGTACATTTCCTATGGCATTGTCACTTCTTTGACACTCTGCGATACTGTTGCAAAGTAATATTTGCTGTAACACCTGGCCATGGCTCACTGCTGCTTGAGGGCTTCACCGTGCTCAACCTCCATGGGCTAGTTTGAGCCTGTTTGTGCGTATAAACTCAATGGGATTCACTCAGTCATGGGGATGAGTATAGACATCACCTGAAATTACGTTTAGAATTCACTGTAACATGTTTCAGTGTCCTCCAACATAAAGTTGTTAATACCAGTATGTAAATATTTCCAGATATTTAGCCGATCACCTACCCACTCCTTCATTACTACCGGTCACAGTGTCTGTGCGACTCCAAGGGAAAAATGTCAGTCTGCCAGATATTAAAATCAAGCCCCACAGCAGGTGAGCTTAGCAAGTGAAAATTGGCCACCAGCTGCAGTCAGGCTTGGAACAAATAAAGAAATCTGCTTCATTAGTCCGGAGAAACACAGTTGTGCCTTTACAGTGCACCTCCAGCTGTGTTTCACTTTGGCAAATGATTTTCCACTGCTTTGCTGCTGATGTATCTTGAAATACTTGAAGTTTGCAGAAATACGAGCGATTCACAATAGTGCGCCACCAAGAGTTTGCAACACGTTGGCTAATCATAACGCACAAAATTTGTCGACCCTTTCCAAACATGCATTGGGGGACAAATTTCACGCATTGCGATTGGCCAACGCGTTGCAAACTCTTGGTGGCGCGCTAATGTGAAACGGCCGTATTGTGGTTTGACAGAGCAGTATCAGAGTTGATGTCAAAATAAGTCTAAAAAACAAGTGGTAAGTGATCTGGATCTTTTTTTTTCAGTATATCTGAAATTAAGGATGTTATTGCCATGGCAATGGAGGCAAGAGGAGATCCAATTGCTAGCTTCCCAGATGACCAAGTGCAATTTGTTCTTCTCGGGTAGGTCTTACCATTTCCTGTGTGATTTATGTCACTCACATTTTCTTGTCAGAATACATACAATATACATGTGTTTGCAGATATGGTTGGATTGGATTGAGATTGTGAATAGTGGAGGATATTGCACAGTCTAACAACAAAAGCCAGTGATACAGGCTGTGAGACATCATTGGTTTAAGTGTGTTAGATCATTTGTCTAATCTGTGTAAATCAGTAGTGGATCTGGGAGGGGGAATAAATCAACCTTCCATCCCTTGTCCAATTTTTTTGGGATACCTTTTCCTTTTTCCCTGTATACTGTTCTTTTGCTGTCAACTGGTTGTTTAATAAATACAGCAACTATCACTAAATATGCCTTCCTCATATGTTTGGGTTCACCTTCATTTGGGGCAACCCCCTAGTAAATGTCAGGTGCACTAGTGTAAATTACTGTGTATGACCTTTCAATAATAATAATAATAACAATAATATAGGTACTTATAAAGCGCATTTAACCCCTTGATGGTGGGAATTTCTTGCCGAAAGCCGACTCCAAGAATTCCAGCCTTGCTTGGCCACGAAGGCCACCTGCCAAACCGCAAATTCTTGGTTTGTGGCCCTGCGTGCTCTGCACGCTTTGATTTACACAGTGAAAAGGCTGATGGTTTGGTGGCATGCGGCTCTACTCATCCTTCCACATTCCTGTTGCCTCTTTTCAAAGTGGGGACTATTGTGAAGCTGGTGATTATGATGCAGATTCGGTCTTTTCATTTCTGGGCTACGCACAAACACCAATTACCATATATACAAGAGCCAGGGTCTGCCTTCTTTCACCGTGTTCGCTCGAGCATGGGCCGAGAATAATAGCTGAAAAGCAGGCTGAGGATCTCAATATTTATGGCGTGTTTAGCCGCCTCCCGGCACAAAGGGGTTAATATAGATCAAAGCGCTGTACATCATTATTACCCCTGTTCACCGAGCCCATGAAACATACCATCTCAGCTCCCTAGGGAGTATACAGCTCGATGCTGGCATTTCGGCGCAAAGCGGCTAAATCAACAACAAACCTATCTCTGCCCTCACAGGGGACCCAATTACTCCTGGGTGGAGAGAGGCAATGAGTGACAGAGTGCCTCGCCCAAGGGCACACGCACCATGACCCCAGGCTGGATACGAACTCGCAACCTATGGGTGTGAGACACTTAGTGAGGCAAATAGTGAGAGACTTTCTTTTCCCTTTGACTGCACCTATTCCTAATGATATATCTTGTGATTTTTTAACAGACACTTTTTGACAGTTTTTTCAAAAAGTAATGTACAATTCATGATTTTCCTGTTATTTATTGTTTTCTTCGCTTCATTAATCCAGCTCTTTCATTTAGAAATAACGTCAAGTGCAAAAGCAGATGTTTTCATCTGGATCCAGGGGCCATGTTTACTACTGAATGGTATTAAAATACTTCTCAACAATGTTTTCATCTGATAAAAATCAGCCATGTGACAGCTCTGGACCAATCAGATTGCTTCTACTGTCTTTGGTATTTGTAAATGAAGTTCAGGCCGAAGTTACGGTTCACCAGAACTGTGGTATTTTTCGTTCCTTTTTTCTTTCTTTAGACCTGTCGAGAAGGGCCGCGAAATATCAGCTGAGCTTTTAGAGGAGCTGTTGCAATCTCCTGATAGTATGGAAAGGTCAGAGGTTATCAGGCTGTTACCCCGGGGTTGTCATCCTTTACTGGAGTTTGGTGTGAAGCCAGGGAGTGAGGTTGTCGTAGCCGGCCCACTCAAACTGGAAAGGTGAAGTCATGTCCCAAAAAGGCATTATTAGTTTACAGCTATGACTGCTGAACCAAGCCGTAGCCATCAAACATGGAACATTCAATCACAGCATGGCTAAATAGCATTCTTTTAGCCCAGCTAGCCCTATCCTTTCTTATCTTGGATTTGAGTCCTCTGCAAACAAATTTCTGCTACCCTGTGCTCATGTACATTTTATGTGACTCCATGCACTATCCAATTAACCTTTTGTCCCACTATAGCCTTGCCTGTGTCTGTTTGCACATTTAGGGCAAGACTTTTGAGTTCAGCATGAGATATTGTAAAAATGGACAAAACAAAATCTAATGAACAAGTACAACTTGAACATGTGTGTGTGCTGATTTCAGTGAGATGCCCAAGCAGTGTTTTGCACAGACTTTTGTCAAGGACAAGGGCCAATCAATGGACTACTTCACCTGTAAAGATTGCGCATTCAAATGTAAGTTCTCGAAACTTTCCACCTAAACAAAGAATAGATCTTGGTGCTCTCTGCATATATGTGCTTTCCTATGATGCTCAGTGGACTGTGTGCACCCACTGGCTGTATACAAAAGTAGACATGTAAGCAAAGTATGGCATTAACTGTATGCAGGCCTATTCCTGGACATGCTTTGAAACCTGTGACCCTCCAATCAGATGTCACGATCCCTGACCTCCAAGCCGGGCTTCCCCAATACAGCCACATTACAGACAGGATTTTCTGTTCTCAGATTGATTATATTGAATGAGCAGTTTTCATTTCTTAGCCTGTGAATAAATTTCTGGATGGCAAGTTAAATTTATTCCCTAAGCATATTTAAATGAAAATAAATACCCTTTTTGGAATCTCTCCAGTCATAAGTAGGAAACACCACTACATTTAAATCCATAGTTTTATTTTTTTTATTTTTTAGATTTTGGCAGTGTTCTGTTGAGGAACGTGCTTTTAAATGAAGGAACTTTTCCTGTTACAGGGGTATGTCGATCCTGCAAAGACTTCTGCCATAAAGATCACCAGACTGTGCCATACATAATGGGCCACCAACCGACATGGTAAAGCTCTCTTGCAAACTTACCAATTAAAAATTAATATCTTGAATCAGTGAGATTATTTCCACTTTTTTCATATTTTTTGAATAACTTGTTAATTTGTTGTTGAATTAGGCTGAAATTTTGTGTAATCCTCAATGTGCTTCAAGACTGCCAAGTCCCTTTAACCCTAGCCCTAACCAGCGTGCAGTATGGCCTGTTGAAAGACCAGTGTTCCCAATGACCTTGTGCAGTAACCGGATCTCTTTGTTCACAGACATGTGCCAACAGGTCACGGCTGTTTGGGTTGTGACTGGTGTTACTGTACTTTCACAGCACCATATGAATTGTAGATAGAGAGGGAAGCTCATGGCTGTATAAGCTGCCATAAGAGATTGGTACAGGTTCATTGGCGTACTGAGCCTACAGATATGACCGGGAAATGACTTGGAGACAAAACTCCGCATCCCGACCAGGTGTTATTTTGGAGGCGTGGCTTCTCGCAGGATTGTTTTTTAGTATGTGCATGAATCAGAGTGAAAACTAACAGCTGTTTTCAATTGTTCATTTTTTGGCATTCAGGGCATGTTGCTACTGTCCCAGAAAGAAAAAGGTAAAGTTAATTTTTTTTGAAATATTTTGTTTAAATTCGAAGTCCATTATTTGGTACTTGTGTCCATGAGCAAGGCACTTTGCAAAAGTTACCTCTCTTGACCTGGCATAGAAATAGATGCTTGTTTTACAATTAGAGTTCTTCACCGTTAACCACTTCGCGCCGGGGGACCCCGTATCGGGTACCTTATGTTTGTATGCATAGCCGGGGAGCCCGAAATCGGACAAAGGAGCCGGGTCATGTAACAAAAGACAGCACTCTGAACAAAAGACTGAGCTGCTGGGACTTGAACATTTTTTCAATTGTCAATAGTGGTGGTAATCCGTCCTTTTTTGGAAACACTAAACCACTCTTTGTGGCATTCACTACGAAGGGTTACAATCATAGATGAAAGCTCTTCAGCGCTGCAGTGCTGAGCAACACAATACCGCTGCACGTTAATCTGGCCCCATTGAAAAACACGCCAGCAGCGAACTGCTCTAGTTTCGAGAACAGAAGAAAATTACACAACACCGCACAATCTGGGCTCTCTTTACATGGCAGCAGGCCTGGCTGAAATACACGGGCGTCAATAGATGTTCCTGTCAGATTAGCATACCCACCAGAGAGTCATTCGTGTGGGTGTAAACGTCCAGTAAATGAAGTAATGAATTTTTAAAGAATTTTGAAAACAAAAAATCATGAAAAAACGCCAATATTTGTGCACGGCCATTTTAATTAAACCCGGTGCAAAGTGGTTGAACAGTGCATTCAGCAGCCTGTTGAACTGATTTGAGACAAACATTAGAATCCAACTTTACTGTTACTCTTTTTTTCCCAAACCAGTCCCAAAATGCTCCTTGCAGATTACCGCAAGAGTACTCGCCAAGTTTCTTAAATCTTACCTTCTGCAAGTCCACATTAAAAGCTAAGAGTTTGAAAATCATTCGGTACTATCACCAACATGCAAGGGGACTACTGATCACATATCACTGGAATTTGGGGATTTTTTGTAGCTGCAATCTTACTGAATAATTATCGTAACCCAGAACTAGGAAAATGACTGATTATCATTTTTTTGAAGCACCCCTGATGCTCTCTTTCATTTCTTGTTGAAAACTCACAAATTTATGGTGTTGAAGGATTTTTTGGGCAACTGTGCAACTACATTGTATCTGTGAACTTCCAACTGTCTTACTTGATTTTGTTTTGGGACTAATAGCCTGCATTTAAGAATGACCTTTTTGCAATCTTGTTTTTATAATCAAAAATATGGAGAAATTATTTTGTGAGGAATTTTATGCATTGAGAGCAATTAAAGGTTTTATATTTTCTCTTTTTATGATGGTGGGGGCAGGATTCCATACCTTTACTGTGTTGAAAGAAAACATAAAAATTGAACTTTGAAACACCTGCCAAACAAGAGGTAATTGTTTACCAGGTTGTTTACAATGTTAAACTGAAAGTAACTCATCAATGAAACACAGCACTCGGTTATTTGTGTTAGGCAAGATAATTGTGGTTGTTGTCGTGTCATGTACAACAGTTTTTGTGGATCTAGATGAATCTTGTGTGCCAGCCAACAGCGCCAAAGTAGTTACATCATATGTGTATGTGTGTAATGACTGGCCTTGGCCTTGGAAACTGTGGCCTCAGCCTTGGCCTCGAATGGCAATGATGTAGCCTTGGCCTTGAAGGTTGTGGACTCGACTCCAACACGGATGCATAGTTACTTCAAAGATACTCCTGTCAATTTCATTCTTTTACTTTTACTTAGTGCCAACTTGGTGAATTGAGAACTTGAAGAGGATCACAGGACCCCCTCCCCAGGCCAAATTTGGTCAGCTCCATCAACGTGAAAACAAACTCAGCCTGCTGTAACACTGACATTGGTAAAAAGGAAATGTGCATGTGGAAATAGGAAGGGCAGAAGACATCAAAGGGCACTGTTGGAAGTTTCATTGTGTGCAGAGGTCTTTCGTTGGTTTACATGGGATTCTGATAATAACGTATCTGACAAACTGCCAAGAGATGTCCTCAGGCCATTCTTGATCAACATTTGTTGAACATTTTTATTATTTTCTTGGTATTTGAAACTATTTTAGACAGTTTCAAGATGTACTTTGCATCAGGGCGATGTCAAGATTTAATTCCTCATTTTGCCCTTACACTGATGTATACGTAAGACAGTCCAGCCATTCCTATAGAGGACCCATTATGTAGCCAGTCTTGAATGGTTGATGAAACACCAGCTGGCTGATCTTACTGACTTTTTTCTGGTGTCACGTGAAATTTAGATTCTGAAATCTGGTCCTTTGATTGCTATTTTGCACACAATTCACAATCTTCACTTACGTTTGGGCAATGGTCCCAATGAATCCATATTTTGAAAGTCTGAGATTCATGCTGCTCTGGGTCGTCTCATTCTGTGCTACGTCAGACAGTATGCACCACGCAATATTCATATCAGGAGATCATTGGACTACTCGTGAGAGGCACGTACCATAATATGACTAGATGGGTGTGTTAACAAAAAAAAATGAGTGGGAAACACCAAAATTTTTGAAATTTATACTTTTGAAAATTGCTCGGACTTTCTGACTTAATATTAAGGTTTTTATGAATGGGATGAAATATGTGTTTGGCCAGTCTTTAACGTTGATTTAAGACTGGCTGAGGAGAGTGCATGCCGATAATGTCCCTTGCCATGCTCAGGTCATTATTCAGCATCCATTCTCCTGATCCAATCTGAAATGAATGTTCATTCATTCTGAGGCTGAACAAGCACATAGTCTCTCATTAAACTATACAACATAACACGTACAAATACATCAGAGAATGAGCCAGTGGCAAAGTTAACTTGCCAAGGAGTGGTCCACAGGTCTTTCCTTGAGTGTGATACAGGACCATGATTTACTATAGAAATGTTTCTAAGAGTTCCAAAAGGATTTACAGTGAGTGTTTCTACTGGATTGTATTGCATTATTTAATAAACATTCCCTGTTGAATCCATAAGGCCATATTGGTCAAGTTCGGGCGGCCTGTTCTTGTACACAGGTTTCGTAAGATTTTGATTTTTGAACAGCTGCAAACATGGAAAAAAGTAGAGTGATGGCTTACAAAGCCAGTGACCATATGACATTTTGCAAAAGTATCATTAATTATTCACCATAACACAGAAATGAATGTTCCTATTTAAACAGAAAAGAATTCAGCCCAGTTATCCAAACATTAACTCTCAAATAACATACATCAACGCTGCCATGTTGGAAGTTGCTTGTCACTAACTACCACCAATAACCGGTTGTACGTTACCTGCATTCGAGCGGCTGTCCAAAAGCAATAAATCAAGCTGTTTGTGAACACACGAGAGCAAGCCGCCCGAACTCAGCCATAGTGTTGGGGGTATACAGCTTGAGCAGATGTACCCCTTCATTGGTTGAAAAGAACCATGCTGGTCAGGATTACTCAATTTGTTGAAGGCAATGCGACCGTAATGCATGCATTTCATAATCATTTGTGAACCAGCAGAGTGCAGTTCCGACCCAAGGAACCTCTGTTACGAGGAAAATAATGCCCTCTCTTGGTCCAGCTTGGGGCTCATAGGTTGTAACAGACAAGAGTGGATTTAGGACAACTAAGGGACTGATGGGTAAACGGCCCTTCAAATGGTCTGTGTAATGCAATTTTTTATCTTACAATTTTGAAAATGCACCTTTACAATTTTGATTAATCTGATTTTCAGTTCATGTTTTGCTGTCCTAAAAGGCATTTTGCAGCCTTTTAGTTTTTACCTAACATTGCCTTCCCCGATCGACATTACAATAGAAAAACTCCCTTGGTTAATTGCAAATGTTACAAAAAGTTCACTTTTTGGTACTTGTATTATCAAACACCTAAATGATGTCAAATAGTTTTCACACAGCAAGGAAAAGTATGAAGATTAACAAAAAGGTGTGTTCAAGAAAAAAGATTTTTTTTTTCAAATGTGGCAATGCAGTTTTCTACACTCTCTAATGGGCTATCGCATGCACTCTGAAGGGAACAGTTTTTGTTTGATATGGGCAGACACATGCAAAACTTGCTCTTATTTTGGGCTAAAATTATTGTACTATTTACATTATTGTCAACCTGGTCTGGTATTAACCTCTTGACGCTGGGACTTTTTTCTGAAAGCCGGCTCTGAGAATTCCAGCCTCGCTTGGCCACGAAGGCCACTTGCCAAACCGCAAATTCTAGGTTTGTGGCCCTGCGTGCTCTGCACGCTTTGAATTACACAATGGAAAGGCTGATTGTTTGGTGGCATGTGGCTCTACTCACGCTTCCACATTCTCGTTAGCTCTTTTCAAAGTGGGGACTATTGTGAAGCTGGTGATTATGATGCAGATTCGGTCTTTTCATTTCTGGGCTACGCACAAACACCAAGTACCATATATACAAGAGCCAGGGTATGCCTTCTTTCACCGTGTTCACTCGAGCATGGGCCGAGAATAATAGCTGAAAAGCGGGCTGAGGGATCTCAATTTTTACGGCCTCTTTTATCCCTTCCCGATGAGAAGGGGTTAAAAAAGGAGTCAGTGTTTTGCAAGCACTGTTTAAAAGTCTGCATTGCCTTTTCAAAACTGCCTTCATGACATCTGCAAAATAATTTATCTTTGAACCTAAATATTAGTGAAAAAATCAAAATGTTTATTCAACATTGAAACTTTAAGAGCAGCACATTAATAAGGAAAAGTTAACATCTTGACAAGTTTTTGTGTAACAGCTACACGGGCATTCCACTCATTTCTTGAATTGACAGGTTCAGACACATTTGCTCTGCCAGGCTACAGATTTTCCTCAGTTCTTAACAACAATGATGGTTGTTTGAACAAATGTGAATATAATTTAGAAAAACATGTACACCTTTTACGAAAGAGACTTATTTACATGTGTATAAAGCTGACAAGATTTTAAAACTGCAGAACCGAGTGTGGCGATTTGAATTGTTTTTGCAGTCAGATCCTTTGCAACACCCCTTTAAAAGGCCGTGATCTGTTGTCCAGCAGTGATTGATATCATCACGAAGGGTTACCTTTACAAGTTGCTGACCCATGTCGGTTCACAAAGCTTTATCCACAATGCTTTGCATTTCCTTGCAACATGCACACGATTCCTCCAACTGTACCGGCAACTGGCTCGGAGTCCACCTGCTGGCTGTAAATTACAGTCCAAGGAGAGCCCCTACTTGCCACTCTCCGCCCAGGAGAGCTCTGTGAGCGTTCTGTGTACCATCCCGTCCAGGGGAGAAGGAAAAGTATCGTCAGTCATTTCATGCCAAGGACGCCAGAGATTAACACTCCCCTGTGCAGCCAAAATGACCTTAAGTAGACTTAGTTTTTGACCAGCAACTGTGTGACCAGTGGTCACAAGTATAAAAAGGATGGAAAGATTGGGAAGTGCCTGATGTCTACGGCAAAGTATTCTGGGTGGAATGATAAAAATGGAGCAAGTGAACTAAATGCCGCCCGCCGTTGGCTAGAGTTCCACGGGCCGTCCCAGGCTCAACATCAGCTCCTTGAGATGTCCGTCTTCAGCCCAATTCACCCCGCTGCCGAGGATCAGCCCTTGAAGGATGTTGCGGCCTATCTGGATGTGGGACATCGTCCGCTGGATCTCCCCTTGCCTGCAGTGAACGGCAAAGTAGACACATCCACAAATAGATGGTAATTTCTCCTTTCATCCAAACTACTTTCACAGCACACTTGGCAACCTTTGAGACCTTCTCTCATAGAATATCCATGAGGTTGTGTGACAGTGAAAATTCTAGACTGGTGAAATTACTGAGTTTTAACACCTTAGCCAATCAATCTAGTGTTTCTAGAGACATTCCTAAATGCAGGCACACACACAAGAATGTCGGTACTACAACATCACACATAGGTCCATCATTTCTTGGTCATTTTTTCAAACAACCATGCGAGTTTTCAATGATGCTTTGGAAGCACTTAAACGTTAACAACTGAATCTACCTCTCCGTGTCAGTTCCACTTACACTTGTCGGTGTTTTTCGTTGTCATAGTTACTTGCTTGCTGGTTTTTCTCCTTGTTGGTCTGGAGAAGCTCAGCCATGATGTCTCTGTTCCTCTTCTTTAAGTCTGTTCATTTGAGAAACAAAAATGAAGGTAAATGAAGAAACTGGTTTGTTCCAAAGTGTCCTGTAGCCCTGTGGGAAGGTATGGACGCTTGTGAACTGTACAAGCTATGCGTAAGATGAGGACTGTAGTCGGGTCTACTGCGAGTCCTTCCAGGTTCCCTTAGAAATCAGAAACCAAATGATTTTTTCAGGACTAAAATATGACAACTCTCATGACATTTATTGCCATTTTGTAGAGAAAAGTTGTTTGGTACTATGAACTGGTTCCCAAGACTGCCATAGCCACCACTACAGACTGACAAAGGATATCCGCTCCGAGCGTAACAAAAGAGGGCGTCCTTGTTTTGGTACTCGCTGCATAAGCGCAAGTTTATAATGGAGATCAATGGTGCACTTGACGCGGAGCACGCTGAGTAAGTGTAACGAATTTAGTGTGCAAGAACCCGCTTGGAAAACTTACATCAGTCTTTCTTTGCTGCTTGGGGTGGTGCACTTCAACTCGGTGCAAAGAGCCTGTGAATTTATCATTCCATTATCGCATAGAAAGTGGCCCATCCAAAATAACCCTTGCATGATCTTAATTTGCAGGACTTTTCCATTACTTTTTTCCTCGAAAGGGATCCCAGGACAACCTATTCTTCCCCAATTTTCTAGGACTTTTCCATAATTTTCCTGAACTTTATAGGATTTTCCATGACAGTAGGGCTGTGTTAATTTGAATAATTCACTATTTGAATATTCGACCTTCAATTTTATCGAATATCTGAATATTCGATCGCACCGACCGGCAGATTGTTGATGAACAAACCATAAACAATATCAGTTTCAGTAACACATAAAATGGTACATTATGATCAATATAATAGCTTCTCACATCTAGGAGTACCTCCAGCCACAATTTAGCAAGATTTAAGAGATAAACAATACTTCTTGCCCTTTTGAAAATTTCTATTCCTTTTAAATTGATTAATGAATAATTTACTTTTTAAATTGTAAAATTTCTGATGCTTTTCATTTGAATCTGCTTGAAACAAGCCTCCATAGTGCCAGTTTTCTTATTGAAAACAAAGAAAATTTTCCCTCCTTTTTTATGAATTTTGCATTCAAATATTCAAATTCGAAAAATTATATTCAAATATCCAACAATCGATCGAATATTCGCTTATTCAAATATTCGGCACAGCCCTACATGACTGTGGGAACCCTACGGTATCTTTGCAAGTCAAATCATCCTTTCTGAAAGCAAAAACTATTCCTTTGTCCCTGTTTGTGGTGCTACTTGTGACTTGACTTGCAAAATGATTTCAGACTAGTCTTGTGATGGGCTCAACAATAATACTGGATACTCTTGTTGCCATGCGGACAAAATTATATTTAAGGAACCAGGAAATAGAAATATTTTTATAAATTTTACTAAAAACCCTTGAAATTGCATCTTTGGGTTTCAATTAACTCTACTTCAAATTTTTGTTTTGCAAGTTTAACCCATATTTTGATGCTTTTTAGGTTTTATGCTTATGCAATTTGCTTATTCATGAGCAGAACTGTGATGTCATCCAAGGCACTGAATCTGACTGTTGCACTGATTTGTGCACAGAAAATTTCTAGATTTTTTTAACCACTGCTATGGCAGATTTCAGTTTCTTTGGCAATTTATTGCTGTGTAAGTATATGGCAATAACCCAGCAGAAACCCTTTTCACAGAATTGTTCCCAGATAGCAAATTTAGGGTTCACAATTTGAACATGAAAACATACAACCTGAACCATGTCTTCCTGGATTTACATCAAAACAAAAGCGCCCTCACTTGTCCAGAAGTGCTTGGTCAATTTTTAATGTTTGAAAAAAAGCACCGTTCAGTTCACATAACTCAAAAAAGATGTCAAACAGTCTTCGTACATGGAAGAAGAGTGCAGAGATACACAAAAAGTGATTCTAAGAAAAATTCATTTCCTGGATCCTTTCAGTCTATGCCAGGCTACACTGAAAGATCCCAATTCCTGCAATTTGACACCAGAGACTGTCCATGTTGCTAGAATGTGGAGCTTACAATGGGCTTCACCATTTTCCCCACGTTTTCTTCCTTCACAAAACTTCGTTCTGAAACTTCACTGCAGAGCAAACTGCAGATTGCAAAGCGGGGTAAACTCTGCTGCAGTGCGTGTGCCTTTCGGGTCAGGCACTCATGAATGGCATAATCTAAGCTCACATATGGGGGCTTGTCTTTGAAGGTTACTCTGCGTGTGGTGAAAACAATGCTTTTGGATGTAACCACAGGAGGGATGAGTTATATTCGTTCTGGCTGTAATTTTGTCTTGATCAAGTTTGGTTTAGTCGACTACATCAGAGTGACATCCAAGACACTGTTGTAAAAAAAACCAAAAGTGGCCAAGGCAAAGCCAAAATTTATTTTAGAAAAACTGATAACACACATACCTACACACTCCTTCTGCACACTGTCCAGCTCGTCTTGCACTCGCTGGCAGACCTTGTGGTGACCTATGACCTCGCTGACCAGCTCGCTCTGTTTGGAGGTCAGGTCGCGGAACTTGTCCCTCTGCTGGGAGGCTGCTGAACCGCTTGGGGAGGTGGGGAAGAGGATCTGCAGGAGGGTGTCACTCAGTTGAAGTCTGGCAAACAAGAAAGCAAGATAGGCGTTGGGCCTGCGGCTTATTACAGTTTAGAGGCAGTGTAATTTGTCTGTGTCACTTTGACCAGATGACCAGCAGATAAATTCAAACCATGATGTCATTCCAAATAAAAAAAGTACTGCTGGGCTCTCACCTTCTTAGTGCCAGTTCCTTCAGAGAGTGGACTGTAGACTCTTTTAGCAGCTCTTTTTGGAATTTCAGAATCCTGCATATCGGAGAAAAAAAACCCACCAAAACACTGACAAAAAGGGTTTGTTTGTCATGCAAACCTTAACACAGCACTGTGCACGCGGTGCCATCCTGTATGGGTGTTAAAAATAGGAGCAAAATCGGGTAGCTGTGTTTATGAGATGGTAAGATAGGAATTCTTAAAAGTGCTTACTAGAATTAATTGGTCAAAAGTGTTGGACAGATGCCCTCATTGCAAACCTGTGCCCTGAAGGGCACATGCCCCCCAAATTAGTGAATTAATTCTGTTGAGCACTTTGGTTAATTTTTAAAAATTTGAATTTGATTTTTTGCCAGGTAAATTTGACATCGTACCAAAGATTAATGGAAGTCATGGATGCAAGGGTAAAAGTACAATCTTAAATTTCTGGCACATATTCTTGAAGAACAAAGCAATAATATCAGGTCATGCAAATTTCATTTTTTTAATTTAAACTGTACCAAAGATTACTTTGGATCATTTTTAAATGGGCTAGGTGATGACTTTTTTTTACAAGCACTTTTTTAGCAACTTCATTATCTTCTTGAATGTATGAAACTATTGGATGTCCTTTTGGGGTGAAAGTGTCTTTTTCAAAACACTTAAAATTGTCCAAGCTTCTCTGGACAACTGAGGGTGCTGAAGCCGTGACATCATCCAAGGAAGACATTACTAAGTTTACGTTTTTCTGTTCAAACTGAATTAAAAAATATCTTCATTGAACACACTTCTATGAAACAGTTGCTCCATGGTTTATTGTCATGCACTGACAGAACAACACATACATAGAAAAGGAAATTAAGGACGGTAAAATGTCAAAAAATTCTAGCAGTTTTTGTGCACGAATCAATTTTGAATTTCACATTTAGACTTGTATTAAAAGAAACCCCAAAAGGTACCATTATATCTTTTAAAATAACAAAACTAAAAGTCAATTGAAAATAAGGTTAAATGATTAAATGAAACACAACAGTAAATTTTCAAGGACAGTAGTTCAAGAAATAATTAAAAAAACTGCATTACATGGACCTTTTAACGGACCTAAACTTAACCTCCCTTGCATACAGCAGGGTTTGAAGAACGTACCTTTCATCCAGCTGCTCCTGGTCTTTGGCTGAACTGACCACCCTCCTTGCTTCAAAGGCAGCTTCATGGTCCCGCTTCACTGTGTCCAACCATTCCTTGTACCTGCAAATGGTGAAACAACACAGACGTACAGGGCAGATCGATAACAAGAAATTTAGATGAGAAGCTATATCTAATCTTTTCCTATTTGGTCTTGCTGATGACGTACCTGATGTACTGGAGCAGCTTCTGGTCAGGTTTCCCGCCAGGTTGACTGCCTGCTGCCTGGGAGGTACTCAGCAGAGACTGGCCAGCAACAGAGGATGTCTGACCCAGCGAGCTCTCTTTGAAGCTCTGACTCAGCCTGTCAAACACCTCATTGTGAGTGGTATCTGCCATGCTCTGCAAAGGCAAGGACAAAACACCGTAAAAGAACAAAGAATTTTTGTCTGCAAACTGCATGAAAAGGAACGCCATATGATTCATCCCTTTGGAAACATGGTATAAATGTGGCTTGTGTCCTTCCAAACCAGAAATCAACTAGCACAAAAGTCTGAATACCAATTAGCAATACTGAAAAACACCTGCATGTCTTTTCACTTTCTTTGAAAAGGTGAGGTAAAGTCTGACATTTTCTACAGAATTGACCAATAAAGCAGCATGCTCGATTGTGCAGATCGACTGGCGACACCAAACAATTTCACGACGACAATCCATCAAGTAATTATTCCTCCATGCTACAGCACAACCCTTTTGGGTCCAAAGGACCAGTAGCATACACCTAGAATGACGGAGCTCCTTCCTCCACTTCTGAGAGATAAGTGGAGCTGAAATTTTAAAACCAACCATTATTGAATTTATCAGTGTTTCTCTCAGTAAAAAAGTAACATTTAGCGTTTGTGTGACAGCCAAAATGTCTCTGTGCTGTAGGAAAGTTGAGTCGTTGCCAGAATATCATTAATAAATAAAATGAAATGTACAGAACTACAGATCACTCTCACTTTGCCTACAACTTGTATGGGCAGCCAAAGTTTGCAGAAATGTCACCTTTTGGTTGGTTTTCGATTTACCTCCAATTCTTTGAAATTGACATTTGTCGCATAAACTTTAAATAGGGTTGTATTTTCATTTAGTGTTGTTGTAGTACGTGTATCTGTTACCTGACGTTCTGATAGCTGCGGGAGATTTTTAACACTTTGTGAATCATTTGCTTACTTTTGTACTGATGACCAACCATAGCAGCCACTTGTAGAGAAAACAAGACTGTGACATCAAATGAGCAGACCGTATAGTTTGCCATAAAATTTTGCTGTCATTCCAGTCACACATTATTTGTTTCGCAAACAGCCATCATTGAACCAATATCATATTACTTCTCAATTTCTCCCTTTGAAGCGAATGAGTGCATATGGCAGGTGGCCAGACACGAAGGCACGTGATCACGGTTCCATCCTTGGGTCAGATCTGCAAATTGCAATCCCCCCCCCGTTGTTAACTAAATCCTAAGTTAAATTGCATGAACCAGATGAAGATTTCCCCCCTAAACTTCTGTGCATGTTCAGTTGATGTGATTGTACAACAGTAAACGCAAAACTGGACCGTGAGCTGGTCATCTAATTGAAATTGAAGGCCTGCACACTGCCTTAACAAAATAACAGCTGACATGGAGTCACGGAGGTGGTTCCCCCCCTGAAAAATGTTGAATAAGAAAGGACAAAAATGAGGAAAGTAAGCTAAAGGAAACTACTTTATCAAGATGAAGAAAGAAATTGACTGGAGCGGGATTTGAACCTGCCAACCTGAAAACACAGAACTGGTTCTCTGTTGACTACAGGTAAGCTGTCCAGCCCTATGTTGGTGGCTCTTCCATTTGTCAATATCTTTGTTTGGGGGAGGGGGGCACTAGTAGCCAGAAGCCATTAAACTTGAAACACCATGTAGCATCACGCTCACAACACAAATCATGAAACAAACTATATACAAGAACTGACTAGGTGCTTAAAGATGATTATCATCGTAAACACCTACTCAGCTTTTGTATATAGTGGAGTACCCTAACTTCCCGCATGCAGATATTCCTGCATCCAACTCGCTCGTTGTGAAGTCAAACTACAGCGATTAAAGTGTTTTCCTCAAACTGCGTCACCAAACCAAAGTAAGTAATGACAAAAATGTCCTTATTCAAGAGACATTAACTTAATAACTGGCAGATTTATCAGAAGTAGGGCATTACCAATAACCGTAAAATGACGCTAGCAATGTACACGCATGAATTAAAGTTTTACTACAGCCGATCCAAGTCATTTGCAGATAAAGTTGTTCCTGTTGCTTCATGACATCCAATGCTCTTCATAATTATTTCATGTGGGCCTTAGGCCTAGTAGTTTAGTCAAACTTTCAACTACTGAGAGTGAAGCCATAAAAGTCTCGTTCAAGAGCAAAGTAGGTGCATGAATTATGTAGACTCTGGATATATAGGATTGTTTCAAAAGGAAATCAAGTAGATGGGCCTATGCTAGCGCGGGTTGGACGTTGTCTTCATTTACACTACGACTGACCTCCGGGGTATAAAAGTCCTTCAACAATGTGAAATTTTTTTCAATCTTTTTTCTCACATTTTTACCTGGCGAACACAGCTCAAGTGTAGTTAACAAGTGCCTTGTATCCAAAATTCCATAAATGCTGCGTTGAAATTACTAAACACATCTGCAGACAATGTAGTTTGCAGGAAATTTTGCGAAACTCTACGCTTTCTATTGTGATCCACGTTTGTCTAGTAGGTGTACTTGCACATGCGCGAAATGCAGGGCAACCGACCGCCCCTTACGCATGTGCAGAAGAGCTGCGGTCATGAAGAAGTCGCAGATAAGGCTGTGTCCGAAATAGGCTTCCCAAGCTACAGCTACCGTAGGTCTGTTGACTGCGTGTCTCCACACATTCCCAATGGAGCATAGACCTCCACCTACATGTAGCTCTAGACAACATAACTGACAGTCTGTCAGTGACAGAATGTGGGCCGAGCGTGGAGGCCATTTCGTACATGTGCAAATGCGTACTAAGCCTACTATATGAACGTAGGCATTCATGAATCACAACAGAAAGCTAGGAGTTTCGCAAACATGGCAAAATACGTTGTCCACAGGTGTATTTAGTAATTTCAACACAGCATTTATGGGATTCAGGATACAAAGCACTCGTAAAGACATTTGGGCTGTCTTTGCCGGGTGAAAATGTGAGAAAAACCACTGAAAAAAATTTTGCATTGTTGGGGGACTTTTATCCTGGACAAATAGTCGCAATGCTCATACTAGGCCTAGGGCCTAATGAGAGGAAAATGAACTGATGCCATGAACACTGATGAAACGATAAAAATCACAAATTTGCTTGAAAGCAACCTCCAAATCATTATTGACCCCCTCCCGCTGTTAACTGTAATTTATTTCTAGATGATGAGTGTAAGCGTTCATCTAGCCCTGAGACTTGACAACATTTGCACTGCTGCAACACTGACTGCGCGCCATTGACTGAGAGTCTGTCAATTGTGCACATGAGCAAAACATTACACGCTGTAGTTGCGTCGCGAGGTGCCGCTCTGCCACAAATTCCAAAACTTAGCAAAATTACAGTAACGCATCAAGTCTGGGTATGATGACTATGGTCTTGACTGTTCTACTCACCCAAGTTACAATTTTTTCACAGTTCTCATTACTGTTTAAAGTAGTTAATTGAGCAGTAGCTCTACGCCTAGCTTAATCCCGCCCGGAGCTGGCCGGTAGCGATTTTTTATATACATCATGTATTATGCATAAGGTTCAAAGGTCAAAAGATACAAAATCGTCAACTGTGCGCATATTGTAGGTGCCTACGGGAGCTAGTCTTTGCCCAAGACGTCAATGATCGATAGTTGTTTCATTTCTGTTGAAGAGCGCCCTCGCGCTAGTTTTTACTTTTAAGAACATTAAAGCGACGATTGTCGCAATATGGACTATTTAGAGGAAGACATAAGTCGTCCATAGTCGATGTTGCCTTTTTTCTGGAGAAAACACACGAGTCTGGATTACAAAATGGATACCGATGGACGCATCAAAAAGTGCTTATTGGCAGGAATCATTATTTCAAGATCAGATGTTACCTTGCTGCTCTCGGTTTTGGATGGCTAACAATAGAGGGCGCTTTCTTCTTATATGAGTTTGTGTTATTTCGCAAAGGTTTTTTCGTTATTTCGCAATAAAAAATACATGTACTTAAATCTGGCACGATTGGGCTTCCATAGTATTCTGTACATAATACCCATTGGTTGAGTTCGGGCGGCCTGTTCTTGACACGGGTTTCTTCAAGTGTTCTCGCGCTCGAACGGCGGGAACACGACTCAAGAACGCTGTTCTCGGAACAAGATCACACACCACCTCCTCGTCGGGTTTTACAAGAACACACGGAAAAACTCGTGAGATTTTGATTTTTGAACAGCTGCCAAAAGTAGAGAGATGGCTTCCAAAGCCATAGACAATGGGAAGTTTTGCAAAATTAACATTAATTATTTTCCGTAACACAGAAATGAATGTTCCTGTTTATATATAAAAGAATTCAGCCCATCCAAACATTAACTCTCGAATAACGTAGCCTGCATGGACGCCGCCAGTTGCATGTTGCTTGTCACAGTACCATCGATAACCGGTTGTTTGGTTCTCGGCGTTCGAGCGGCCGACCCACGAACAACAAATCGAGCTGTTCGTGAACATACGGGAACAAGCCGCCCGAACTCGGCCATTGATCTCCATTATATCAATGATAATACCACAGACATACAAACTAAAAATAGTAGCGGCGCTAATCTTTGATATAAACGCATAGACCGCTAGTCTTGCGCGTATAACCGGCGGGCGGATCCAGGGGAGTGTAGTGGCGTACGCCCCCTTTTTTCACCTCAAAAATGATGCGGCATGCCAGCCAGCTGGCCGGCACGGCATATCGAGATGTTAGCAGGTCGGGGACCAAACCACAATCTAGCGACGTCCCTAGTTTCTGCTTATGTCGCTCGTTCAAGCGGCAATGACGTCATTTTCATCAGGTCACATGATAATGATGTATTTTTCCCGCGCGATTTTGGGAAAATAACGAGATTTGAAATGCCGGCAGCCAACACGGCCACCTTTGCCGTTACCGTTGGAGTCTATGGCAAAATTGTTTTCGATCACAATTTTGGAAAATCGCCACGGTAAACATAAAATCTGCCATGATGAATCGATGGAGATTTATAATGGCAACATTTTCATGCATAAAGCAAACTTCGGCAAAGTTTCATTTTTTTCGCGTAAACGTTTTCATCGGCAGAGTTAGACTCGCCTGCCCACCGAATTCGACACTTCCACTTCCAGTACAAGATTTGACCGAAAAATCTCCTCGATCCGCTTTTAAAAGATACCAAATGAAAGGAAATTCATTTAGATCTTGGGTAGCATGTTTCCTTTAAAGTTGATCGATCAGAGGAATTTGTTTTGAAGTTTCTGGCCGATAAAGAGATCGATGTTATCTGCGAACCGTGATCTAAAAAGTTAAAACATTACGTCATTGTTGCACAAACGAGCGCCATATGCGCGCATAGTCAGTCTAGTAATCTGGCGTCGTCGGTAGTTTGGTCCCCGACCTTGTTAGAGGGCGCTGTTCATGATGATCACTCGCGAAACCGAGCTCGGACTGTCGGAGGGAAACTCAAATTTCTTTGGCAAACATCAGCAGTATTGATTTCACAGTTTTATGCACTTGACTTTTGTCATCTTATTTTGACGGCAACACGACCACTCCAGGTTCGTATGGCTTCCGAGGAAACAATATCAGGAAAGAGGTTTCCATCTTTTCCTACACTTCGCGCCCTGTGCTGTAGTGTGTCGCCTAGCACTAGGCCTACCCTAGCCTCACTAGTGTGGCACGGACTCTCACTCCCGATTTATCCTTAAATCGGGAGTGATCCGTGCCAGTAGTGGGGCTAGGCCTACCCCCACCCCCAGAAGTGTGGTTCTTTCCTATGCCTTTACTCAGGCTTTAGCACACTGTTCCTTAAACATGGAGGTAGTAAGGAAACAAAGTTCACTTTCTCAGACTAATTTCGTGTTGGTGTACTGAAAATTTTCGGCACACCCACTTATCGTGGGCACAATTTCTTTTGCACACAGAGATGATCCTTAGCCTCTCCGCTTTCTTAGCGCCATTTATTGAATGATTTCACTCACGTTGTTCTGGTATTTTCCAGTCTTTTTGCCTTCACCCATTCAATCTCTCAATAAGGTCGTTGAACATTACGTCACTTGACTCCTCATCGTCTCGACGGCTGTTCCATGTCAAGACATATCCAACACACGGACTGAGTGATAAGATACCACATGTACCAATGGGCTCTTCCAAAACTTTGGCAGCAGTTTAGATGTCTTGACATGGAACAGCCGTTGAGACAATACGGGGTCAAGTGACGTAATGTTCAACAACCTTATTTCAAAGATGGCGACTGTGAGAGCAAGCCCGTGAGATTGAATGGGTAAAGGCAAAAAGACTGGAAAATACCAGAACAACGTGAGTGAAATCATTCAATAAATAGTGCTAAGAAAGCGGAGAGGCTAAGGATCATCTCTGTGTGCAAAAGAAATTGCGCCCACGATGATAAGTGGGTACACCGAAATTTTCAGTATGCCGACACGAAATTGCGTATATGGATGTGTGGCTAAGGATGGAGTGGGAGAGAGAGTCCGTGCCATATTAGTGGGGCTAGGCCTAGTTTAGGTAATTTACAATATTTAAACAAGAAAACCACAATATTTTTAACCCAATTCTGCCAAAAGACAACTGCTCAGTCCAATCATACCATTTTGTTTCTCATCTGGTTACCTGACCCGGGCATTTTGGATTCATCAAAATCAAATCTCCATCCAGGTCAAGGAACCAGACTGCATTCGCTAATTTGTTGTCATTCACATCTCTTTGAGGCAGTCATGTACACTGCCATTTTACCCCAAAAGTTCTCTCAAAAACCAAAAGCCCTGTTCTCAATTCTTGAAATTCTTCTTGATGAAAGAGGACATCACCAACAATGTCAACCCTTACATGTACCTCTAGAAGTAATTTACGGGATTCATTGCGCACACCAGTCTTTCAGAGAGCAGTGCACATGAGGTACCCTATAGTTGTTGGGATAATCTGCCCCTTAACTCAAGGAGCTGGGAGTTCTTATTGTGTAATGCGTAGCTTAGCCAAAGATTGGCACAAAATTTAGAATTAATTGTGATTTCCCTTTACATCCAAACTTGGACTTCAAATCTACTTTGCCATGCCATTTTTCCGTACAGATCTTTGAGTTAACAAAATGCCGCGCACGCTCCGTCCTTCTCCGAGACGAGGTCGTGTGTTGCGTCCAACACAAGTGGACAACCTGGAGAACATCAACAATAACCATGGCAACAGCAGTGACCCTGATGCGGATCCGGATGTTGACGTGAGCAAAATGAAGACGATTTTTGAGCGCACCCCCAAAATAGTGCCCTTTGCCACACCCCACCCTCCCCCAGCACAAGGAGGAGACGAGATGGGGAGCAGACGGGGAACGAGTACCTACGGTACTGTGAGAAACAGACTAGAGAAGACGCTACTGGGCGGAGACAGCGGGGATGAAGAGAGGCGTGTCAGTCCTAGCCTCAGACAGTTGAGGATGACACCAGGTACTTGCTTACAAAGCAGTGAGGCCAATCGAAAAAAGCAGTTCTGTTTCCCACTGTGTTGAAACAAATTTGAGTGGGTACAGAATTGAATGTTGAATTTGATTATTTGTCTTTCTGACGCATGGATGCGGTTCCTGAGTTTTTGAAATTGTTTCGGCAATTCCTACAAGCCAGTTGATCTGGGGTATAAGAAACTTTTGCTTCTCAAATCCAGGTTTTTGTTTTGGCTGCTGCAGGCAGAGCTTTGCAGAAGCAGAAAATACTGGAACGCAAGCACCACGAGGCCAAGTCACGAGCACACTCTCTGGGTGTTGGCGGGGGTGTCAGCCTCTGGCCCCAGATGGAGAACATGAGGCTGACTCAGCGAGAGGTAGCGGTGCTTGCTGCTGCGTCTCTCTTCCTAGGTGCAGGCGTTGTCCTTCTCTTTCACTACCTTCATGGTTAGTTTTTTTGTCAGTCAAAGTTTGGGTCTCATGATAGTCCTTAAAATGTTGTAACAAATTGTGTGTTGTTCCTCAACAAGGCATTTGTCACAGTTGGAAGAAATGTGTTGCAGTTGGCAGCTGGACCTCAATTTTACGGCTCTGCTTAATGCATGAAAAGAATCTTTTCTAACCCATGCCCGAAAATTTTTTGCCAACAGTTTGCAGATTTTACAGATTAGCAAGGAATTTGAAGTTGGCTTGTGTGAATTCATACACCCTTGAGCTATAGATTTTGTGCTGACAGGGTTGGTTTTGCACTTGTTTTGTAAGCACAGAATGTTGGTAAGCACAGAATTTTGTGGGTGAGCATAGATATGAATTTGGATCTGAGCCTGACGGCAGATTGTACTAACCATAAGGACTGCTTAGATTGATTGGACCATTATCCTGCTGCATGCTTGATTTTGAAAAGTGAAATGGTTCATGTCAGAAGTGTAATCCATTACGGAAACTTCCAAATTCTTGTTATTAATCTGACCAGCTTTCCTACAGCAGGTTTACTTTTGCCTGTGCCATTTTCAGGGACAACATTGGACAGCCTAAGATCTTTCAACAAGCAGCTTGCTAAATTCAGTGTGGTGAACAAGATTGAGGCAACAAGTCAGGGGGACTTGGACAAATCTGTGCTAGCCTGGCACCTGGCTTTTACCAATCTTATGGTATGTCATTTATACCCAGCAAGAAATGAGACCGAGGGGTACCCCCCAACAAGTCCAATCCCTATACACGTTCCAGACTATTGTTACTTAACACATCCCCCCCAAGATGTCTGAAAGGAATTCCCCAGATTCCTGCGAGACAATGACCAACACAAAGCAGGGGGGGGTTCTCTCCGTCTCATACCTTGCTGCATATGATGTCATTAGTGCCTCAGAACCACACAAGAGCCTGTATTCAAGCAGGATTTGCCCTAGGGTACTGATACATTTGAGGAGGTCAAACAAATTTTGCCAAAATTCTAGTGCCTAAACCAAACGCGAGTGTTTTCAAAAAGGCCTAAAATAAACTCTATACAGTATAGTAGTGTATTTACTCTAAATTTCCCAACTAAACAAATCAATCTTACATTCTGTGTCCCTCTTTATCATTGTGAATAATTTGAAACTGATTTGTTTCACAAGATCTGAATCATTTTGCTTTCTCCTGCCATCTCGGTCTGTTTTAAGTGTGAGGTGGCAAAATTCACCAGCAAAGCCTGAGCTGGTCACTAAAATCAGTGAGGTGGGTCGCCTCACAGTTGAATATCCAGGGTAAACCCTGATTCATAGTGAAAAGTGACTCGAAAATGACTGTTACTGTAATACAAACAAATCTTTGTTTATCATTACATAGCTGAGTTCTTTTCTGAGTTGCTTGTGTACAGTCACTGAGAGTGAGTAAAAATTGAGTATCTTTCTGGTGTTATTTGGCAGGACTCTATAAATATCGAATTTGACACCCGGTGGCCCAAGATCTTAGGAATGTACCACGTGTGTGCGCTGGTCTACATTATCTGCATCTTTCTCCTGCTGTACTACCTGGCTGAGAATATCTTCACCACGAGTCGTCTGACGCCGTACAGGATAAAAGTGTGGTAAGGAGGGATTAGAGCACTTACTACCAAGATTTGAGTGAGAGCTGAAGTGCATTTTGTTACAGTGTAGGCTACCTGTAGCCCAGTTTGTGGTCACAGGGGCATACCCAGGATTATCGAAAGGGGGGGGGTTGACTGCAGTGGGGGTCAGGGGACAAATCTTCCTCCAGAAACTTAAATAAAAAACCACACCAAATCCTTCAATCTGGTGCATTTGAAATGACAAATTCAGGACCTTAGTTTTGTTACTGTGTTGTTTGTTTGAAACTCAAATCGTCTCCCCTTCCCCCCACTTACGCCCTTGGGGCATAATTGCATTGTCTCATGAGTGTGTAGTCTGTAGTAATACAGTCGAACCTCGTCAATAAGAGGTTCTTCAGACTTGAAAAATTACCTTGTTATTACAGGAACCTTGTGTTGTCAGGAATGAAAACAATGAAAAAGAAAGGATCAGGACCCTAAAATTTCCTTGTTATAAGCAGAATCTTGTACTAACAGTGCCCTTATTAATGAGGTTCGACTGTATATTTATCAACTTTTGTCATTATTAAAGTTTCCTTTTGGCAAACTCTGATTGAATGTGAAATTTACAGAGGAGTGAGTTTACTACTTTTCAAGAAATTGATACCAGAATTCTGGCCGTGTAGAGGCTCATTCATTCAGATGTTGTAACTTTTCACACTTTGTACCTCCAAAAATGCAAACTTCACATAAGAAATGCATGTCAGGGAGATACAGTTGTTTGTTAGCTACTATAAGGCCTAGAAATGCACATTATGATCCTGTTGTCATTGGTACAAATATCTGCTGGATGTGTTGTTGATTTTTCTTCATCCCCAAGTCACCCCTGATAATTAAGAAGTTGATAAATATTTATATTACAGTACTGCTGTTTCATACCATTAATCCACAGTTCCACACCCCTCAAAAAATCTGTAAGGATCCAACACCTGGTTTTTTGTATCAGTGGATTAAGAACTGAAATGTTTATGGAGATGCCATTGGATGTCATTGATTTTGAAAATGATTAGGTGGTCAAGTTTAGACGTTTGAATGTGTTCAAAACTCCTCAGGGTGTCTCTGCTGGTTGTGACTGGTACTTGGAGTTTGTTGATGGTGTACCTTCTGAGTCAGGCCCAAACTCTGGAGGCTAGAGTGGAGTCCAATGTACATGTGCTTAGCAACCATCTGGTGAGTTACTGCGAAAAGTCATTAGGCTAGATAAGTTTGACTCTCTGAGGACTTGAACCCTGAAGACCACGGAGCCTTGAGTCTGGTGCACCACCAACTAAATTTACTTGAAGAAATGTTGTGTCTAATTTGTACGCATTGAGAGAATGATAACAAAATGAATATTAAATGTACATTAAATTTGGATAATTAAATCGTTATTCCTCTTGTGTCTCTAATCTTTCGCAAATCTGCACTCATTTTGAACTAGGTAAAGTTTTGTTAAGAGTATAATTTTATTTACAGAAAATTTAAAACTTTTTATTAAAAAGAAAGATGTACATGCACTGGAAAAAAGTAAATGGTGGTTTTTACAAAGGTGTTGCACATATGAATGGAGAGTTTAATTTCTGCTGACTAAATTCATGTGATAATACTTTAGTGATAGTGACAAAAGAGGTAAAGATACTAAAATTAATTTTGATAATGAAACCGATACCTTACCTCATGGTAAGTATAAACGGTAATAGAGGAGAAATTACTTTTTAACTTTTAAAAAAAATTCTTTTGTTTCGTAATATTTTTGGACCTGTAGAGTGACTTTGTCTTCCTAGACCTGGACTTGGAACGTTATAAGAATGTCCTTCTGTACTGGCAGACTCGCTGCCTTCCCCCGACGACCTCCGGCATGCTGAGCATCATGGGATTGCTGCAGGTTCGAGATGTCTCCTACTACCTCCAGTACTACAGCTTGCCCGTACTGACTGCCCTGCTGACCCCAGTGGTGCGGCTGATTTTAGCCTTGAGAGAAGTCTACAGCACCGACTCCAGAAAGAATTAGAGCTTCAACCTTTGAAGCAACTCTGTTTACAGGCAAAAGAAGGAATCTCTGCATCTGTTCATCTTAGAATTGGAATGAGGCTCTTTTACCGGGATCCTTGCCTCATTGAAGGGATAATTATGTTAAAGCTACCTACGTAGAGCAAAAATACAAATGATTGTTTTACATGTTGTGTAGTCTTGCTTTCAACTCGTTCCAACACGGCAGCTCTGTGTACAGAGAAATGCTGCCTCATTGATGAGATCAGACAAGTTTGTGTTTAGAAACCAACTCACTATTAAAACCTTGAGAACTGATCAAAATCTACCTTATCCACTCCGAGCGGAACAAAAGAAGGTGTGTTTTTTGGTACTCACTGCGAAGGCGCGCCATGAGCGGCGCAAGTATATGCACGTTTGACGCGGAGCATGCTGAGTACGTGTAACTAATTTTAATATTCCAGCATATATAGTCTTTGCGTACACGCAGAACGTGTACAAGAACCGGTTTGTAACCACCTTTCTTTTCGCCGATTGGGAGTACACTTCAGCTCGGGATAGATACATGCTGACCACTAAGGGTTTTTAGCACTGCTTATAATCAGTCTTCTCTCTCCCTCATTAAGTTCATCGTGAACTGTTATTTGAGGGGGAAAGTTGGAAATACAGAATTCATGTAAGTGCTCATTTTGTCAATTGCTTTTTAGAGCAAAAAGTGCAGAGGGACAGTACTTTTCAGTAGGAATTAAATTGAAAGGTAATCTTAGTTTTACCTTGTATCTACACCTAAAAGAACGAAGAGTGCCATGCATAAATTAAAGCAGGATTTCATAGTGGGAGCCTGATGTATTGTCAGGGTTGTCATGCCATCAGGTGCCGATAAGTCACTGATTTCCCTGAGTAAGAACTGTAAAAAGTACAAAGGAATTTTTGAGTGAATTACTTGGCATATGATTTGATAATTTACTATAGGAGTTGCAAATTGCATAAAATATGACAGATTAAATGACAGTATAATATTCAAAACTTGTGAATATACATTACGCATTTTTATTGCCTCATAATTGTGTAATATTTCACCATGCTACATTGATTTCAACCTTGATTTTGCCAGTATAAAAGCTATGTTTGACAGACCAACAGTCATTATTCATGTGACAATTATCAATGACTGATTTTCAAAATTAAACAGATTTCTCACTGTACTCTGAAGGTTGACATAAAAATTGAAACAGTGCTTACAACAAAAGAGCACTTTGGGCATTCGATTGTGGAGGAGCTGACATTGGTGCATATTTTTCATACTTTCACCGTAGCATGGTTAAATTTTCATCATGCTGCATCAAAATGCCATATTTCCCTCGCAGGATCACTGGATCAGTGGTGAGATTTGTCAGGATTTTTCCCGATTTCAGGATTTTTCAGACAATCTGTTTTTAAGTTTGTCATTGAGGTGTTTTGACGTGTAAAAGTTGGTTTAGTGCACAAGAAATGGGCCCTTAGGCAGACACAAATGTATACCATAGAGCCTATGCTGCTGGTGCTGTGTGATTACATTTTTCACTCTCCTCCAATCTCACCCTTGGGATGCACCCTTTGTGTTCACCTGTTTCATTAATTGACCAAGATTTGATCATTAGTATTAAATGTATTGAAACTGGCCCGGGTGATTTTGGTGACAACAAATTTGGTGTCCCTCTTTACATTGTGATACTTGTTTGCCTGTTATTACTAAGAGTGAAGACATACATATTTAAATGATTCTAGCAGCTCACATTATAGAACTTTAACCTAAATATCCGGTGACAAAGGATGAAATATCTAATATTAATAGTTTGCGGTTGTACGTGTGAGGGGACATCAAATTGCAACATTTTGGAATGTGTTTTGGGGTCTTAACATGTCAAATACTATAACTCCTTTAGAAATGACCCTTTATTTATATTAAAGCAAGTTATTTGGATTTGGAATGACACTTTATTTAAATGATTTAGTGACTAGCTGAACAAGATTCGTAAGTGACATGTTTCGTGTGTAAACAAGATCTACGTCCTGTTTCCGTTTGGGGTCAACATGTCTTCAGACTAACCCAATCATGGTAACATCCTCAGTCAGTTCTGAGCGAGACAAATGTAATGAATTCAAATTTTTGTCAGGTTTGACAATGTGCCGTTACACGGCCGACATCTGAAGGGTACAGGAATCCACCCTCGTCAGTGAGCTTTTCCCCAAACCGGTAGCACTGGTTGTATGGTCGCAAAGCAGGGGCAACCACATTCAACGAAATATGGGAGAACAGGTTTAATTGCGGCCAAAAATTATGAAAAGGGGTATATCAGGTCTTCGGCTCGCTAAATTTTTCTAAGGGTTATCCCACCCCGGAAAAATTCTAAACAGGTAACTATTTCCCCCTCCATTTATGTCTCCTAATGATTAAGCCGATTTTGTTTCAACTTACGGATTGTTCTAACGCGCTTAAACTTGTGTTCAATTCAACTTAGTTCAGAGACAACTTGAACCAGACATGTTCAATGGCATAAATCAAGCCCCACGCAATTGAAAGAATTTACCAAACAATGTTTGAAAAAACGTTGTGAAGTTCCAGGACTTGAAATTTGAAAATCCAACACAGTGTATATGTGTGGAAATGGATGTAATTACCGAATGCAGAACCTGGGTTTTTTTGTTTTCGTTTTGCAATTTAATATTCGGGACCGAAATGTTGTCGCTGACAGCGGTAAAAAAAAGTTGACAAGGAGTGGGGTCGTCCCGTGTTTGATAAGAGGCCAATAGTAGGCATAAAGGCCCCGCCGCATCTCATGATATAGCACCTCATTTTTTCTTACTCAGAAACTGTAACTAATTGTGTAAGAATATCAACGAAAAACACTTCCCCGTGCATGCAGGCTGTGATGGGGGTAACTTGCCATGAGCAATTCTCTCTCAAAAAATAGGCGGTCTCATTGGCGTAACCCGAGTGGCAGGGGCATGTGTCCCACATCTAGGTCCGCGCACCCCGCTGGCGGCATCACCCCCCTTCCTCATTTTAAAATCCGCCCAACCTATGAACAAGACGCGTTCATAGGTTTTAGTTGCCCCCTGAGAAAATGTGTACACCCCTGGGGTGTCTCCCAAATGTCACGTCAGTCACGCCACCAGGCGGTTCACCTTTCGGTTTTTTTCAGATTGCCGCTCATTATGAGACTGAGACTAAGCCGTTTTCCAGTACTCAAAGAGTCGTCGCCGCTGCCGGGCTTGTGTCTCCAAAATCGATCACCGATTGTCGCCCCAAAGCGTTCAAATCAAATGAAACTACGGTAATACTTTGCTCTTTTGCATTTGATGTTCCTTTGGCACTGTTGGACTTACTTTTTGAGCTAATAACTCAAAAGCAAGGTGGTAAAAACAGACTAACTGAGACAGACGAAGTCAAGTATTAATAAACGGCCCAACTAGTCGTGACTCGATCGACGTTGGACTTTCATCATGTGTTGCTCCACATAGAATGTTCAAGACCTTTCCATTTTCTTGAGAGGGATTCTTTCGTTTTTCTTTACCAAAAAGAAAATGTACTTCTGCATGAAAGCGGTCAACATAAATACTTGGTAAGTATTTTGTTTGGAATTTTTTTGAAAACGCTATAATCGGCTGAATGAGTTCTTTCAGTATAGCCTCTCTCGGGTCGCATACAAACATTGTTCTCGCAGCGCTAGCGCAACAAGTGCTGGTGTGTGTCATGCATGGTACGACTGCCATAGAGACTAGTCAAACAATGGCACTTCACCGTTTACGATCGTCAACGCTAGAGAACCTCACCGGTTTGCAGCCTTAGACCACGCTTCCACTCTTCTGGTAACAGCTAATTTATTTATTTTAGTGATTATTACTTATCAGAACTGACGTTTCACAACATACTCGTTTGGATTTGGTAATAATCTCTGTCAGATTCCTAGACTGTCGAAACGATCAAAATTCACCGGTATACAGCGTGCAGTAGTCCAGACTATTTGCATTCATTCTTAATTCAAACAGTCTGGCTTCCGTCTTTGAGCCGCCGAGTTGTGACAGATTTACGTTGACCACGGTCAGACGGTTGGGCATTGGCCTTGTTTTTTTCTGGTAGGCGTTTACTAGGCCTAACGTTAATCCAACATTTACAGCGTTTTACTTTCTGGCATAAAAACTGCGACTGTGTTGCTCAGTGAGTGGGGCAGATCATTAGGTACCATTTAACAAGAATACAGTGCCCGTGGACTAGTCTTATTCATGCATCATCCTGTCACTTTGTGTCAGCGACAGTTTCACGGAGGCCTTTTTTTAGTTTGTGCCAACACTGGCCAAGTTTTTGTAACCTACTGACCTAAGTTACCTTGCAACACGCCATGTGTAGTTTGTTTACAGGTTTGGATGTGAACTCGGAGTAAAGTTACAGGATATGAGCATGTGAACAAATTCCTTAGCTTATTTGAGATTTGTAAGTTAGACTAAATGGCTGGCAATCTTAGTTCACTTTGTCGTTTGTTGAAGCATTTTTGCAAGCTCCTTGACTAAATGTTGACTGATAGCCCTAACAGTCTCAAATCCTCAGATTTTAACATGATTTTACATACAACCTAGGGGGGTAGGGTTGGTAATATTGATATTGTTGATATCTTAAAATTCAGCTTCAACAATAAGATTCTCTTTAATAAAATTATATTTATTTTTGTTGTGGGTAATGAGAACATTATGGGTAATTTGTTAGATACACTTGTCCATGTTCAAATGTGTATAGAACAGTGCTGTTGAATGCCTTTGCAAGTCAAATTCAACTTCACGCCTCTGTCTTTAACTGGACTTGGGATTTGTCACTTAAGTGGGACAAAACCAGTCATCATAGTAAATGATTGCAACTTGAATGCTGTTTTTGCTCTTCTTGCAAATGAAACTTTGTTTTTCTCATCTTTCTTTGCAGAACTCAAGCGGCACACTTGTTTACACACAGCAAGGTCTCAGCATGGCAAAACACATCCATTCTACGTGCTTGGCCCTTGAGATATTCAGCTGATTAATCAACAGTATTGTTCCAAGCAGGAGGGGCAGAACTATTACAAGTAACAACAGTTGTCAAATATTAGTATGAGCAAAGCCAAGATGGACAAAAGCCTATCCACTCCAGGGTAGGTCAGCGTCAATTAACTTGATACAAAATGTAGCGGTTTGTCTGGATTGATATCACCTCTGTTGTCATTTGAGAAGTTGTTTCTGGAACTTTTAGGTGTTAAATATCTTGGTTTACATGTAAATAATCCTAACACTGCCTGTACAGAAACTGTAACAGCATCCTCCTATTTCTACTTTGTGCAAGAAAAGTTTAGGAATGTGCCAAATATTTAAATATTTATTTTTGAAATTAGATATTCAGTGGTTAAAATCAATGAAATAATAAAAATTTGGTTGTTTGGTAACAATATTACGTTAAAAGTAGATTTCAAGGTTTTAAGATTAATCTTAAAAGCAGCTGGTGTATATGGGTATTCCAGAAATTAGGGGTCCAGTTTTTGTGTCCCTGTCACATCTGATGATGTTGTACGTTCAGAACCTATTTTCCAATTTCTAAGAGTGATGAATTAATGCAAATTACCTGCCAAACAAATAGTAATAGTTTGAAATCAATTTCAGTGATATTTCCACGTCAAATAACAAAGGTCACATGCAACAGGGACACAAAAATGGTCACACTTTTAGACCCAAAATTTCTGGAATTACCCTTATGGTCAACAGTATAAGCTAAACCTTTTCTTCCGGTTTTCCGTTAACTTTTTTTGTGGCGGGTGAACTCTTTGGGACTTGTAGACTGATAGAAAAAAAAATCACCAGTCAGGACCGGACATCAATTGGTCCTCCATCATCCTCCTTTAACAAGGGGACGGATATCAGTTCTAAGACTTAGTGAGGTAGAACACCACATAAACATGCAGATTTTGTTTCTTCTTGTGTGGGAATGTGGCATAAGGTCTGCTCTCTCATGTCACAGCTGTGTTTTTCCTACAGGTGGTTGCTAAAACTGTGGTTGGCCATTGGTACAAAAGTAAAAGAATGATTCACAAAGTGTTGAAAATCCCACGCAGCTATCAGAACGCCAGATAATAACACACGTACCGTCACTACTAAAGGAAGACTAAATGAAAATACAACCCTATTTAAAAATCAATGGGACCATTGTCCGTTTTGAACGAATTTGGGGTAAAATCGAAGGCCAACTAAGAGCTGATATTTCTGCAAACTTTGGCCACCCATACAAGTTAGAGGCAAAATGAGAGTGGTCTGTAGCCAGAATATTTGATTGAATGGGAGGTTGAATAGTTAAATATTCAGTTATTCAAATTGACTCAGCCTTACAAAGGATTTGAAAGATTCACTGTCCATGCCCTAGACTCAAAATGTAATTATCACCCTGGGTTAAAAATATCTTGCGTCACTGAATTTAGTAATGCAAATGTTGCACTTCAATTTTTTTCTTAAATACAACTGATCAAATGATTTAGTGGTTTCTTCACTAGATAACTGCCTTAGTACTTGTGCTTTATGTGAAATCTTGTATAATCAAGTCATAATGCCGTAAATCCTCGAAATACTCACAAATGTAAAGGCAGTTCTCCACTTTTTGTACAAACTTTCACATGCATTTCTAGATCACGAATTGGGACTTTGCTGTATTCCCTTGAAAAGCTCAACAGTTCCAACACAGAGGATGTTGAGCAGATGCGTTACACAACAGCCAAAATATTAAACTGCACCAGAGATCAAGGTACGTGTAGTAAATTGTAGTAAAAATTTGATTATGTACATGCACTCATTTTAGAAATGACATAGGCCTAAGGAATTTCATTGCTAATTTTCTTGAGAAGGCATGTGTATGTACAAAAGTGTTTATTGTGGTAGTATTTGAGTGTTAAAGGGCTTGGATTGCAATATTTATGTTGCCTGATTTTTGATTTAGAGTTGATGAGATCTGACAATGCAGTACAAAAATGAATTGGTCTGAACGGTGTTGGCACAAGTGGTAAACAGTCTACTCTTATTGCAACTGGAACATCAGTTTTGGACAATGTAGACAGCTCCTCTGCAGAACAAATTTGCTGGTTGGCAAATGAAATGTGCAGACCAACAGATGATCAGGCTGTGAATGAGAAATTGCTCGTTAATATTTCGTCATTTCATATTTTTAAGGTTAACAGTTACACTGTTGGTTTTTGGATTTAGAACCCGTTCGGAAACAGATCATGTCAAAAACTACAAACGGGTTGGAGATACTACTCTCAACGCTGGAGGTGAGTCAGTGTGTTTTTACTTGCGCTGAAAAGTCTCAACCTTTTCTGCTGGTACAGACCAATAAGTTGTTGCCAAATCCTGGGAAGGAAACCTTAAGGATCATGGGTACATCCAACAGCTGATATCAACAAACAGCAGATTCCTTGGGGTAGACACAAAATGCATTTTGAGTGAAGTAAAGTACTGACTATATTAAGCGCAGGTCCAACCTCGAGACTGCATTTGTGAAGCCTTTTGTCTTATTTTGTTACAATATGAAAACCATTTGGCAAAGTGTGCGCAAATATTGGCACTTTTCTTCCCTGATGCACTGTGGGCAGTGCAGGTCGTCCACAATCAAGGTCAGCTCTGCTGCATTGCATGTACACCCACCAGTGGTTTCTGAGTGGCAGTTTGACATAGTACATCACAGCAAGTTCATGCGTTCCTTGCATGATTCAGGAGTGTAAAGATCTTAAAATGTCTAGGAAATTTGGATGGTAACGAGACATGGGGGCTTACTAATGTTGTAAAATAGTTGATGTATTCCTGATGGGTTTCAAAACTACTGCCAAGACATCCCTCTCTGTTGGTCTATTGCCTTACCATCTTTAATGTGATGACTTTCTTCAGAGTTCGGCCGACAACCATGTCTCTTTCCATGTGGTATCAACATTGATGGAGTTGTTATACACGGGTAAACGAGCTTCAGTTCTTGTGACGCACGGAGCGACTCAGATTCTGCTGGCTGCCCTCGGGATGGCGTCTCGCGCACAGCCAGTTTCGGAAGAGCTCATGGTGGCCTTGCATCATGTTCTTAGTAAAATTGGACCCAAAGGTTTGTATCTCCCAATTCTGCATTCTGACCATTGCATTTATGGCTGATTGGCTGAGATTTTGTTATCCTAACTGCCAGTGTTTTTTTACTGGGAAATGTTTCTGAATCCACCACCACAATCTGCTGGGCTGTATGTGTATCTTCCTAACTCTTTTAAAGTCCTCTAAGCCTCTTTGTAGATTTTAAAGGATTTTGGAGGGTTAGGGTTAAAAAAAACCCCAAATGTATGTGTGATCCAACTTAGCAAAGTGAATCAGAAGTTACCGGAATTGAAGGCCGTTAAAAGAATCTTGCAGGATACAAAGCAGGAATCCTCAACAAATTTACCCACTTGATGTCCATTTTCTTCAGGACAAACTAAGTGATGCATCAAATGGACGAGTTCAGCTCACTCAAAAATACTAGAAAATGGCCTTAAGACTTGTTTGATGAGATCGGGTTATATTACGTAGAATTTTACTTCATGTCTATGGTTACTATATAGACTTGTCATCAATTCTGGTGCACTGTGGTTAATGTTGCGTAGTGACATGGATCAAACTTCAGTTGTGATCAACATGAATCGCATTTTAGCTCAGACTCAGACTTGACCCATCAAACTTTTCTTGCAGCCAATTTGGACTCTTGGCTAGGAGTTCACCCTTTTAAGGCTCGAAATATAACTCTGCAAGTGACTCATGATGTCTGTGCCCTTGAGCAGTGACATCTATGAATTGACCCCTTTTTGTACGAGGACAGAGTGTGTAGTTATTTGTTTTTGTGTTATTACAGACAGAAAGTTTGGTGTGAAAGCTCGTCTCAGCGGTGCCTTACCTATTACATTTGGCCTGGTCCGTACCAACACAGCAAACTTTGAGATCTTGCAACCAGCCCTTCAGGTGCTCAAGATATATGCAACCAATTGTAAGTAGACTTAGTGCCGATAGACATGCAGGGTTCTGTTTCGCCACCCTCTTACATTTGTCTGTGATGGCCTAGGCAATGCCTTCCATTGAGAGCATTTTTTGAAATAACTTGGGTTGATTCCATTAGACTATGTTCATGTGTCGGCCATCTAGAATTGAACTTGA